AACGCTAAGGGATCGGTCCTCATAGCTAAGCATAGATCAGTTAGTAGGGGCATGCCCCCAACATGTCTGTCGTCTCACGTCTTCCTCCCTCTCAATTGTTCATCCTCTCCTGTTCCAAAGCGATTCTGATGCAGGAGGTACTGGATAAGAGTATGTCTCAGATCTCTTATCTTATTCCACAAATCCGTGGATTTCTTCACATCGAATCTCCTCACATTCTCTCTCATCTGCTCTGGGTAACTTGTCGCGTTCATCAGTCTTCCCAAGTTTCCATGTGTTATTGCAATCATTGTTAGAAGTCCATCTAACCGCAAGTTCTGAACTCCTTCGGTGAGCAGTACTACCGGTCCTTTCACGAAGTTTTCTGCTCCAAACGTCACGAACAAGGATAGTAGTTCAACGATTGATACTTCCACTACTGCTTGGAGGAATTCTTTTACCAAGAATCGAGAGAATTTTGGGTAGACTTTTCCCAAGAAGGACGCGGTCCATCCGGCTCCCAGCCCTTCCAGCATGCTATCAGTCCGTTCAAAGCCTTCTTCTCCTTTCACCTTCTGAGTCCAGAAAATTTCCAGGGTAACTTGGCACACTCTGTTTACAAACTCGGCTGCCTTCTCCTCGGCATTTTCGGCCAGGTTCACCTCCTTCACAAGGTAGCATGAATCTTCCTGATCATCAGTGGGCCTTGCTCAAAAGCATCGGCACCCAATGCCGCTACTCGAGGAGTTAGGTGTAGCCACTGGTTAGCTTCTGGCTTGGTTTTCCAAACCATCGCTTCCAAGTGAGCTCTGGTATCCTTGGAGTTGTTTCTTCTCTCTTCTTCCTCCTTTGTGTCCATTCCTCGGAACCATAAGTCATTCGACATCGCCACAATTACTCGATGGTCGTCATCTATTCCTGGCTTCAACTTGAGCTGTCGACTGAAGTTGGACAGTTTCAACCCCAGCACCTCGTCCAACACTAGCATGTGTAATGAGTGGTCCTTGAATCCTCTCATTGCGTTCGAGATATCCGACCACACCGCCGGTAGTTCGGCCCTGAGTGGTCTCAGATTCTCCATCTCTATCTTGCGATTTGGGGCCGATATGATTACATCATAATTCCCTTCTGAGAGCAAAGCCACAATCGCATACACGAACTTTAGTCCATCCGGGAGACGTGCATACCCCGGAGACACGCTCTTGGTGTCATTTTGGTGAAGGAACCTTTTTTCAGGGTATCCACTACTTCACCCATTGACTCGAGTATATCTTTTATCGCTGGCCATACAGCGGCTTCGGCTGTCGTAGGCTCTCTGAGTCTGCTCAGGAAACCCCTACTGTGTAATTGGCGATTGATGCCAGCAAAAACAATTGTGATTGGGTTCATCTCTGTCTGTCTTTGTACCCCGATCGCCATTGACACGGATTGCATTAGGTTCAAATCGACCGCTGCCAACATTATAAGATCCGGCCAAAACCGAGACTTGGAAGTGTGCACGAAGTCTGAATTCGCTACTATCATAATCTTGGCCTTCCTCATTTCTGCCTTGTCTTGTCGTACGCAATGTCAGTCAGTATGAGAGTTTTTAATTCTCTCATTTAATTTGAAAGCCCAACAGTCGGTTAAAAAGCATAATGAGCACAGATAAGACCAGTTCCTCCTAGTCTCGGCGATAAAATTTTATGATTTTTTAACCGTTACAAAGACCGAGCGAGAGAATACATCACCTAAAACTGCCTTTTCAAAACGATAAAACATTTTATATTTCAAAGAAATTTTGATGCACTTAAGGCTTTAATTAACACAATATGGGCGCATGTATACTTATATGGGTGCATGTTACAGAGCATAATTGCTTGTTTAGCGTCCACGAGGGTATGTAGACTAGTGTACTAAACTAGTTATGAAAATTTTTTCTTATAATCACGGAAAAAATTAAACTCTCAAAAATTAAATTTTTGTCAATATTTCTTATCTAGAAAAATTCTTTCAAAATATTCGAGAAAAAGAAAATTCAGTGAACACAGAGGCAATGCGGAGCGTCGCATCACTTGGTTTTCAAGCAAGCGCAGCATTGCAAGCTATTGAATAAAAATGAGACAGAAAAAACAAAATCGAAAAACGGGAAAAATGAAAAGTTTCAGAACAACTGTAAAAAAGAACGCAACCACCATTATTAAATAAACTTTCAATAATTACTTAATGGCCGCTAAGCCGATAACACTTTAGTATACGCCCACTAAGCCGAAAACAAAAACAGGCCATAACAAATTGTTATTAGGAAACCTTGCAGCGCAAATTAACTGAATTTTTCAAAAATCGATCTTTTCTTGCTTTTGAAGCGACCCAAAACATGGTTCCTAGTCTGATACAGCATAAGCTGGATACATTTAGGCTGACTTACGCTTTTCATTAAAAAAAAAACAAAAAAACCAAAGAAAAATATACAACGTCAGTACTATTAATTTTCAAATTACAGGAGCAAAAAAAAAACGCTTGAATTCGCAATGAAAATTGATAACAGGACAAGTAACTCCCCGATGTGGCAGGTAAATCGACAAAACATAAGCAGACAAACGAAAGTCCGACAATACATTGTACACTGAAAAAAAACAAGGTAGGGCCGGCGCTCAAAACCCAGACCGTAGGCTTCAAAGTCCACCACGCTACCTCAAGACTAAGTGAGAACGAAATTGGCCGTTGTTAAAGTTCTATCATGCAAAGTAAGAAAAGCAAGTAAGGTTTGTGGGAAAAATAGTTTGCGTGAAAAAGGAAAGTTCCTGATTACAAGACACTTGTTCTCGCAAGTGTAAACATTTTGCGTCTCATAACGTAATCAAAAGAGCAAAATGCTATCGTCTATTCAATTTGGTAATAATTTCTTTTCCCGCTTAAGCTTTTATTATCCCCATACGCTTCGCGCACTATTTATCCCAATTTGATTTTAGCTGTCAAAATAGTTTCAAATTCAAACCATTCGGACCTGGAGAAAAATAATCTCATAAAAATGATATTTTTATTTTTGCTAAAATCATTCAAAGTATATTTCGAAAAAATTACGTCAAAACTTTCGGTTGAAAATTTCTAATTCTAAAGCACCCCCTCTAATCACAAATCTTCCGACACTTCCTTCTTCGAAAGCCGGAACGATTAAATTTTTTGAAGTGTTCTTCAATGGGAGACCGTAGTTTTCCTTTCTTTAGGCAAATTTCCACATGTCGCACGAAAAACTAAAAATCATATTAAGTTCAGACTTTCAATTCTCCGACAACAAAAGAAAAGCTTACACGAACTAAATAAATTTTTTCAACTTACACTTCATAAAACAAGAAAAATTGATGCCCTTCAAATGAAATTTCAACAGCTAAGACAGGTGACTAAACAGCTGGAGCATTCGTAGAGTTAGTATAAACCCGGTCAAAGGTGAAACAACTTTTTTTACCTTCAGAAAAATCTAGATTAGTGTTCTTTGAAAACTCTACGGATGATTATTCCGAGATTTTAATTTTGACCCCACAATTATCAAATTTTCAAACTGATCTTGTGTAATTGATTCAAACAGATGAAAACAAAATCAATCGTTTTTCGTTAACCAACAAACAGACTTCATAAGGACAACCTGTTGCTGTGCAAGTCGCATCGAATATCTCAATTTTTGGCCGAAATAACGCAAAAAGAAGCAATGAAGACAAAAACAACCGGCTGCTGTGCAAGTAGCACAAAATTTTCCGACCACATTCATAAAAACACACAAAACCTTCACATTACTAAATGAGTGTCAATTCTTGGCGTGGTGTGATGATATGGTTATACACACGAGTTAAAATTTAGTTAAGTGGTCAGAACCGACAAAATTCTTCTTCAAAAAAAACAATGGAACAAAAAAAACAGTGAAACAAACTAGGAAGTTTTCGTTGCCAAATGAACGCTAAATTATTATTTTTTTGAAAACTAGTCTTCGTTTTTTACTAAATCAAGTGTTTTACGGCCTAAATAACCTATTTTAATATAGCAAACAATACTCGATTGCTTTAATTGGTCGAAATTACTTTAGAACTCAAGAGCTTCAAACTGGTTTTTCTCGACACCGGGACAAACTTTTGAAAATTTTTAAAATGTCGTTCGAAGCACGACTTTATCAAAACTAGTCCGAATCACGACTTTTTCAAAACAATTTTTTTTTCAAAACTAGTCTTCGTTCTTAATTAAATCAAGTGTTTTTCGGCCTAAATGAGCTACTTTAATATAGAAAATGTTACTCGATTGCTTTAATTGCTCGAAACTAGTCTACTGGGACAACCTTTTGAAAAGGCTTCAATATGGTATATCACTCAACCTATTTCGATGCTTATTTAAGGTACTTGATTTTTTGTGGAAAATAAAAAAAACTACAGCACACCCGAAAACAAAGTTCCTCCCCATATTCAAGGGTCGGAATGAAATGCTAGAATGAGTCGACTTAAAACAATCGATTTGGTACGCAAATGCATCCCTTCTCTCATTTATCTGTTAAATGTGAAAACGGAAAAAGATTCTCCACATTGACACAACTCATTCGAAATATTATTTTGGAATCTGAATCACGCCTAATAAGTCTTTAATATTATAACAAACTTGACTCCCATCGAGTTTCACTATGGTATCCCAACTCTCTGGAAAAAAAACACCCAATGCCATAATTCCGTCCCACTTCGTGAAGTAGCTGGAACTATAACGCATGCTCGGTAACTGCAACACGACCCAACTTGTTTAATCTAAAAGATAATTTTTGCGCGCAACGGAATCCCTTTTCCTCAAAAGCTGTCCAGTAATTTACATAGTTTTTGGTCGAGAAATTAACACAACCCCATCAAAAGCAGTTTCATCTTAACAGGTTCGGAATGTCAGCAAAATGCATCGACTCTAGAATCTCAAATTGGGCAGCCAAAAAAATCAATAAGATGTTTTCATTAACAATTTTCTGAAATTTCATTCTTTCTTACAAAAATGATATTTCCAAATATGATGATCAACTATTTAAAACCCTTTTAAGCGCAAAATATAAACATACCAGGCTTGCTCATAGACACTCGAATAAAAACGGCCGAAAGAAAACAAAATAGGGTTATTATTTAAACAACAGAATTATTTCTCCATTTGCATTCATTCTTGTACCACTCAGCAAAAGATTCGATAGAGTTTGGAGGCATTAGAGTTTGTCTGGATAGTGCATCTTCTCTCGCAGCACTTGTCAAAACTGTCCAAGGCCAGTGGTGTGCATGCAGTACAGATGGTAAGGCCACTCCTTCTATTCTGTGCAGTGATGCTCCATTCAAACCAGTGCATCCTTAAACATTACGCCACTTCTCAAAATTAAAGTTACCAACAACACGACATTTCGTAAACTTACATATGTATATATATTTTTAAAAAAATCAGATGGGGACTGGACATAGTAGCCCCAATTGCCCTTACTTACCTAGAGGGTAAACAGCAGTGATCTCCATCTGCCCCACTAAGTGCACATTGGGAAGCAGTGGACCGGGGTGGAGGTGGATGGCAGAGGAGGGGGAGGAGGGGGATCCCCCACAGAGGTACAGTCTCACTTTGTGGTTCACACTGTCTCCGAAATGGGAGAGGATATGTTTGGCCACTGCCAAGTTGGACGAGTCAGCACTAAACAAAAGAGCTCAAATTGAACCTATCTCTTTTTTCTTTCTCGGTTAAGTTCCTTTCGGAACAAGAGCTTATAAAATAAATTGCCAGAGGGGAATAAAACAAAAACCCAACATCAGGGGCGGCGAATTTAGGGAGCGCGGAGTTGGAGGGCGGGGGGGGGGTCTTTTGAAAATTTTTAAATCTCGTTCCAATCACGACTGAAAGAGTTAATGATATATCACTCGGCCCATTTTGACGAATATTTGCGGGACCTGTTTTTGCGTGAAAAACCAAAAAATCATAATAACTAAAACACCCGAATACAAAGTATAAAGTTCCTCCTTATTTTCAAAAGCCGAACCAATCAAAAGTCTAATTGCAAGAAAATAAACCTACGCGTCCAGACAATTCGGCCAAAGACAATTCAGCCGATTTGAAATTCAGACAATTCAGCCAAAGTATGCAGACAAATCAGCCAAAGACAATTCACCCAATGAGAGTGACCGCCTCAGTCGCGCCAACGTGTTGCGAGCTTGCCAACAGAGGGTAGGACTCTGTGCGAAATTTAGAGCCGGTTATCACCGCAAAGCGGCGACGCGCGCGAAGCGCGCCCACCGGAGACCATAAACCGAGAAACAACTCCAATTCCGATTTTTTTCTTTCGTATCTAGCGTCATGTAAAACTGGCTGAATTGTCTCTGGCTGAATTGTCTCAGGCTGAAGTGTCTGTGCGCCATAAACCTAGCTAACAAACAATTGCGTCTCAAATGGCATAAGTCCCAATTACATAAAAACGCAAAAGTTCACAAATAGCATAAATAAGTGAACTTATCAATTCAATTGTTGGTTAACATGTTATCTTGAAATCAATTTTTCCAGCAAAATTGTCACTCAATATTTCGAAGCAAAAAATCTGAAAAAAGATGAATATAAAAGCTCTATATTCAAAGTGCTTTCCGACTAAGAAAAACGCAAGCTGACTCAACCAGACAGATCATTAGTTCATTTTTTTTACGAGGAAAAGGCTACCCGTAAATGCCGGGTCAAACCCTATTTATTGAAAGATAACGAGTTGCCTGTTTTCATCTCGAAATCTCTGACTAAAGATGAACTCGAATAAGAAAAACGTTTACAAAACGAAGTATTTTAAACATATCTAGTGTGCCCCGAAAAAAATGACATTCTACCAACAAGAAACAGAAATTCAACCGGATAATTGACAATCGTTCAACAATGTTCAAAAATTTTTTGGACTTGATGTTTTTTTACCTCAAAGAACTTTTACCCAACGGTGTATATGATGTCATTGAAATTATGAATGTGGAACTCTCTATACATATAATTGAGTAGTTCATGTTATGTAATATGTTTGCAGATGTCGTACTTATTTATGGCATTTCGAAGTAAATCACTTCGCCCGAGTGCATCCAAAGATTAGGTGCCACTATTATAAAGATATATTCTGTATTTTCGAACTTCCGAAAAGAACAACGCAAGAGCCTTACCGCAAATCTATCTGATATAATGAACAGGAGTCGAGCTCTTAAGAGCTCAATCAAACACAAAATCGGATGATACACACAACTACCAAAATTGCAGAATCCCCAACACTCAAAAATGGAAACGTCTTACGGGTGTGATTGACACAAAACTATTAATGGTTATCTTTTTGCAGAACGAAAATCTTTTGCTGTTTAAGTTACTGTAGTACTTCTGAAGATTTTGATTGTAAGGCGTTTCCAACCAAAGTTACACAGGTAAGGTCGTTGACAATATCAATGCGGAACGGTCTACATCTATAGTTTAAAAGTTCATTGTATGTAATACACTTCAAAAATGGAAATTTCTATATCTTTAGCTGAAGAGTTCATGTTATGTAAAATATTTGCAGATGTCGCATTTATTTATTTCATATTGAAAAAAAAGGTTCGGCCGTGTCCACTCGAAAGATGAGAATTGCTACCAGCGGTTTACAATCTCTCATTGCAGCGGTTTACAATCTTCCGGTCTTATCAAGTTACTAAATATCTCTTCCCGAACAAGTATCTCAATTGAATACCGCATTAATAAAATCACCATTCTTTGTTTGCGTGCTTCATTTTATGGGATGAAAAATGACGAGAATATTTTACTTAGATATTTCAACCTTCCCAATCTCTGCAGGTACACTCAAATTTCTTCCTGTTCTGGTTTACCACATTTCTCACGGCATTTGATGATTGGAACTTGTCCAGTTTATCACGGGGGCCACACAAAAAAGGCGATTCTGTCGACCTTGGTATTGGAATCAAATCCTGGCATCATGAATGTCAACACTCTCGAAGCTAGACTGTTTAAAACTTTTTCTTTGACTTTAACGGCTGTTTCCACTTGCAATTCTATGCTTCAAGGCTTTGAAAACGTTGCAAATTTCGGTGTCACAATTTTCTATTTACAGGACTGGTCTGCACACAAAAGCATTGAACTTAAGAAAAACTTTTAAGTGTTTTATTACATTAAAAGCCTTATCTCAGTCTCTGTTTCGCCTCATGTGTACAACTTACTCAACCCATGTCTTGATTATTCGTTCATATTATTCCCAAGTGTGCTTCGCAACGGCTATAAATTCAAGTGAACTTCACTCATCTCACAAAAACTTATTCATTGTGCTTTTGCGTATTCTAGCTACCAATCCAATTTTAAAACACCTCTCTGTCCCTTTTGCAAGTTACTCCATGTTTTTTATGGTCTTGCTACTTTTAACTTAATTAACTTTGCCTTTCCAAGTAAAGTGGGCTTACGTTCAGAAAATCAAGTTGATTTTCAATGTCGTTCAAGACGCAAATTTTCCACATACAGAGGCTGTGTTTATAGTATAGTAGATAAAGCAAACTATATCACTACGAATACTGAAATCAACAAGTTCGATCCACCCAGAAAGTTAAAACGGGATCTTCTCTCCTACTTGATGTCACTTTCGACTGCCAAGTTCTCCATGACCTGTACTAGCTGTACTACCTTTCTAAACTGTAAATGCCTCACATACAGCTGCCGACAAACTGCAAATTCCTATGTAACAATTTGGTTTATAAAACCGTTTTAATTTATAAATCTTTCAGTGGTAGTACTAAAAACAAAGTTTGAACAAAAAATTATTCCATCAAAAACTTTTTAACGCTTTTTGCTCATTTTGCCGCCGAAACTTTCGAAAACACTACTCTTAATACAATCTCTGGCGCTATCATTTCGATGATCATTCACTTTTTCTTGTACGTTAATGATATTAGCATTTTCGCTTTTATTATCAATCGTAAATAAACTCGTATTGATTATTTGTCAAATATTTGGCACAAAATTCGGCTCTTTTTCCTTTTACCTTCCACCTGCAAGTTTTTACAAGTTAAATGATTGTTCACATTGTCCAACTATTATGAAAATTGACATGCAGACTAATTAGGCCATGATAAACATATTTGGTCATCATAACCAACCTTTTACAACCACTCGTTACACCAAAAAACATGCTTGTGTGAAGTAGGGGGGATGTGGAAAACATTGGATCAAATTAACGATAAAAATTAACGGATCAATTTTCGCGATGTGTATGAAACAGCCTCTTTGACATAACATTGTGACGATCAGTGTTTGCAGCTCATTTATTTTACATAGAAGCGAAGCAGAGCTTCGCACCACGTGATGCAAAAATTGTACGAAAAGAAAAATTAGATCATAAAATCAGATTACAAAATTGTTGGAGAAACATTTAAAAAAATATATATAAGAAACAAAATCAGCCTACCCCCAACTTACTTTTAAAACCTGCCTGCTATTCATCGGTCTTCCGAAAACACGCAATCAAACCATTGGTAAACTGCATTGATGAAAGAACCAAAAACTACTAACTCTGATATGCTTTTTAAATAAGTAAATGAAAGACATAAAAACCGAACAATATTATTCAATTTATCAGAAGCCTAGACTAATTGGATGAGAAACACAACAAATATGATCGGAACAAAATTCTGAACGGATTTGAAAAAGTCTGAATATTTTGAACAGAGAAGTGATCTGAACTACTTTTCAAAACAATATGGGCTAAAAAATCAATGAGAACATATTTTCAATTGTCGTATTTTCAAACAGAAAAATAAACAAAAAATGCAAAAACATACACTCAATTATCTACATCACACAAAATAAAAAAACAGCTGATTGAACAAAAAAAAAGCATAAAAGGTTAAAAGCAAAGCTAATGTGCAAACTGAAAATTAAAAAATAATGAGAAATTTTCTTTTTATTTAAAAAAAAATTCGAACAATTTTAACTTTTTTCATTTTTAAAGTTTTCACTGTTATTACGAAGGGTCTGGGAAAATAATTTAGATTTGCTCAAAACAATTTGTAAGACTGTTTGTTTGAAAATGAGCCGACGGAATTAAAGCCGACATTCAAGTGCCGAAAAAAATATTTTTGAATGAACCCATGACAGGCACATACCTAACATGAATATACTGACTGCATTTACACCTGCAGTGAAACGTGCAAATTATATGGACAAAGTTGTTTACGGGAAAAAGTCTAGTATCCCGTTCCAATACCCTTGCTTATCGCAAGGGTAAATAAGGAGTAAAGCAATAATAGGAAAGGGCAAAAGTTGATAACAAAGTCAAACAATTTTGCAACTATTCAATTCAGCTGAATTGCTCAGCGTCGATAAGTAGGGACTATAAACTAAATTTGAAAAAAAATAGAATCTCACCCTAGAACCTTTTCTGCACTTTTCAATCCACAGTCAAGTCCGTAAATATCTGGTTTGGAATAAATGAAACTCCTGAGTTTTCTGTTTACAAAACTCAACTCTGATTGGCTGGCAGTCCAATTTAGCCTGTCGTCTTCATCCGAGTCAGTTTTAACCAGTTCGAACTCAAAACCAAACGCTCCTTCCGTGGCAGTCAAATCAGGAGTAGACAAGTGAGGGATAACTTTGATTGTTTCTTTGAAAATGTCGCCCAAAACGGCGCCAGATAGCAGTGAGCATGTGTTCCAGAGGGTCTTGTTGGCCAGATGTGGATCTTGCTGTTGTTGGTTTTTGAACCAGACAAACTGCAGTGTGACGTTTTCCTTTTCACTAAAACAGTTACATTCATCAGCTTACTTCTCAGGTTCTCTCAAATCACATTAGCATAGTTTTACCGAACTGTTAATATACAAAATGGTCGTTAAAACTAGGAATTCTTGAGAGCACGCCACTGATTTTTGGTAACTGTGAGCTATAGTAAGTTAAGAAGGCTATAAAGAGGAAGATAGAAACCGTGGTTAAACTTGAATCAAACCAAGCTGGCTTTTGAGGAGTCGTTGTGGATTCATAATTAAAATTCACAACCTTTTACATAATTTTACAATTCATTTTTTGTAATGAATTTCAATCATGAAAATTAATACCTGATAGCTTGATTCATATCGACCACTTTGGATGCATTGAGCAAGGCTACGGCCGACAGTGTGACGTAATTCCTCCCCAGATGTCTGGCCACGTCCAGGGGCGTGGAGTAATTTCTGTTCACCTCAACCTCCATATTCTTGTTATGACCTACATGTTTAACTCTCACTTTCTCCAACTTCCCACTAAGTTCTGCACGTAATTTCACTTCGTCAAGAAATCTTTTCACGGGAGTTGAGTGTGAATTATCAGTTTGCTCAGATGAATCAGTGACAATTTCTGTGATTGGATCAGACGGTTCCCTTTCAATCACGTTTGATGAATAATTAGAACATGACCTAATCAAGAGAAAGCTTGGTTGTTGCACTTTAATCAGCTCTATTGAAAGAATTTGAGGAGCAGTTGAAATCTTTCTCAATTTGCAAAATGAGCATCGTTTGGAAAATTGGGGCAATAATTGTCCGTTCATCAATTTAGACGTCATTTCAAATCTAAAATTTAGCCCGTAAATTGAAAATCAGATCTGTGCAAAAATGAGTGACTGATCAAGAAAAGATGCTACTGAACACATGGCCTGATACTCTCGTTTTTATCGAAGCCAATAGGAGAATTTTTAAGCTCAAGAACAGACTGTCGGTTTGACCATTTGAACAGTTCGCTGATAAAATCAGCTTGTCAAACCAGTCATCGTGTGACAATGAGTAGAAGGTTCATACCATTAGCAATACAGTTTGAACATTTTTGAACAGCAGCAGTAACACAACCTGAACCCTAGTTTTTGAATCAGCTTGTCAATTGATGAAATTTAAACGGATCTCTTTAACTATCTCGGCCCCTAGTGTATCTAGTAACGAGTATCCCCCTACAAAGAAATAAGTCAACGGTTAAACATGTGGGAATTTTAGACCTAGTAGCGAATATCCCCTTTTGCAAAAAGTTGGATATAGTTAAAGAGATGCATTTAAACTTGTTCAATTGTTAGAAATTCATTCAGAAGAAATAAACATGTTTTGTTGCTATAGAGACAGCCGCATGATCCCTTTGCCTGCCCTCTCCAGATTTTGTTGCAGTATGTATATTATGATTCCAATGTTTTCAATAAAACCTTTCTTTCTTTTTTTCTTTCTTTTTTTCTCTTTCTTTCTTTCTTTTTCTTTCTTTCTTTCTTTCTTTCTTTCTATCTTTCTTTCTTATATTTGTGTACCTTCGACGTCATATTTTCATATAGCAATCATCATTTTGATACAACCCATCTCCCGCAGAAAAAACATGCTAGTGTAAAAAATGTGAGATACGCGCCAAGCGCATTGGACTGGAAACGCAGATGCCGAAAATCAGCCCTACTACGAAACAAAACTAAAGCATATCAAATAAAATCTTTCAAATTTGATGCTCCTTACAAATATTTTCGGCAAATGGCAAGACTAATAAGTATTAGGCGCTACATTATAGAATGATCCGGTATAGGTATAATGTACAAATTTATCAATTCAACAGGTTTAGCACCAAAAAAGTATCCTACTTTCACAAGGGAAGGAATGGTTAATTCATAGTCTACAAAAAATTAGCTCATGATTATAACTATTCGCACCTCCAACTTTTTCAAAATGAGCATTGAACTAATATTCGGAGTAGTTAGTTGCTCTGGTGAACATGTATTTTCGTTCGAAGTTAGATAGCAAAAAATAAGCAGAACCCTCCTTTTAACATACAAAGCATTAATACGCCCCATTTTAGGTTAAACATCCCCTGACTGGTCACATGCCGCCAGGAAAACCGCCATTAATCAACTGCAATTTACCCAGAATCAAGACCTCAGATTTATTACCGGCTCAACACTCATGAGTTTCACTGCCCACCTGCACAAAGAGGTAGAGATCCTCAAAGTTCCATATCACCCACTCTTTTAAGCTCTCAATTTTGATCTCGTCATACCACTCCCATCACCCAAATAATTTTTACCACTCACACCCCACACCTCCACGTCAAGTTCGACAATCGTTTTTAAGCGCTTTTAAAGAAGATACTGACTCCGTTTTAGCAATCTTAATCCTTCACTCAATTTTAATAACCAGAAGAAGTTTCTACTTTCGTTTTTAACCACCACAAGTCCCTTTTACTGAAAAGTACTCAATTGCAGGGGTCAAGACAATCTTGTCTTCGCAGCGTGGTAACTAAGGGTTTTCTCAAAAGGAGTTTCAACTGATTATTGAATTACTATCTCGCTCTCTCTGATGTTGTTCTTGGCCAGTTTTATTCTGACAGGAAAGTCTGGTTCATTGTCTGGAGGGGCCAGTTAGTGCGTGACCTGTGCAACCGTTCGACTGCCCCGTCGTTGCAGGGAAGGTGTCAGCGCTTGAGAGATGAAGGGTTGAAAGGTGGTGTCGAGTGTGTCGTGCAACGTCCTAATGATGTCGTGTACTAGCCTGCAGGTGCCGTTCATGCTGCTTTGAGTAATCCTGGGTGGACCTGTATGTAGTCATGGCAGATACGGGGGACACACTTCGAGGAGGCCAAGGCTGAGGCCTACTTAAATTCTGCCCTGGTTGCGCGAAAGAAAACAAAACAACCCGTAGCTAGCATTGTCTTTTTTTTGCATGTGGTTGTTGTTAACCATTTTCATTTATTTTCAGATTGAATGCTGAATTTCTTTTCAACTTTGTGTCCCAGCTGTCATCGGGTCTTCTTCCAGAAAGGGAGGTTGATACGATACAGTCTGATTGGTCGCGGCCTGCTGAAGTCAGGAGGAGTCTGCTGCGCTTCTCCTCGGCAGCGGATGAAGCTTGTGGACTGTTTCCCCAGACGTGTGATCAGATGGAGGAGAGATTTGACTGTGGTCGTCTTTGACGGAGCATTTGCTCAGACGCTTAGACTGGAATTGGTCTATCCTCCCGATGCCCGACTGGACAAGGATTAAGTGGAAAAGGTTGGTCCAGGTTTGGCACCGATGGACTGGTTGCATGATCCTGTTGTGTTGTGCAGCAATGCGCCAGCCTGAAGCCCGTTCCATAAGGATCGCCAGCCGCCTCTTCGGACCCTTGGCCAGTTGTATTCTGGCAGGAAAGTCTGGTTCATTGTCTGGAGGGGCCAGTTAGTGCGTGACCTGTGCAACCGTTCGACTGCCCCGTGTGAGGGTGCAAGCGCTTGAGAGAAGAAGGGCTGCCAGGTGGTGTCGATTGTGTCGTGCAACGTCCTGGTGATGTCATGTACTAGCCTGCAGCTGCCTCCCATGCTGTTTTGAGTAACCCGGGGGACACACTTCGAGAGGGCCAAGTCTGAGACCTATATGAATTCTGAGCTGGGTGAGCGAAAGAAAACAAAACAACCCGGCAGAAGGGCTACGAAATCCTTGTCCGGACGAAAAAGGAAGAGGATCGTGATGTAAAAAGCAGCTCTAGGAAGTTCAATAATAAAAATTAGTCAAAAAACTAGACAATTTTTACTTAAATTTTAACCAGACTCAATTTCCCAATTAATTTAAACAATGGTAAAAGATTTCCAACTAAAGCAACCCAATTACCGCATTTGATTGCAGGTTTGAGTTTGTTGACAACTGCCAGTGCAGAAAAATATACGTTGCCAATAGTTGTATGAAGTCTGCACATCAATTAATTTAATACTGGTGCTTCTAGTAAAAGGTGCGAAGAAATCTAATCTTTTCCATCACATTCAAGTACAAAGTTAGTGCAAGTGAAGTACATTATAGATTAAACAATACTTTATTTGAACTGTTCATGGTTTCATTTGTTCCAAAGTCGGGTATCCGTTTCCTTTCAGCATCAAAATAAACGCCTCCACTAGTTTACATGGATTCTCCTCCTGCACAAATCCCCCCGAGTCGGACACTTTGAACCAGGTGGCCTCGTTTGGATTTAGCTTCGTATTGAGGTCCACTGATTCCTCCACGTGCGGACTCCAGGCGCCCACGACATTCAGCACCGGACAAGTGATGTTGGACCGGAAGGACCCTCCGTCTCCCTTGGCACTGGTGGCTTCTCGCTTCACACCAATGTCCGACCGCTCCAGGAACACCTGAAGCAAATTATTTGGCCTATTTTTAGATGCAATTAGCCTCACTGCGTGAAAAACAACCAAATAGTTATAGATCATTCATCGTGCAGTGAGAACTGACAACTGACAATTTAACCTCTCTTAAGTAACATTGCGTGCTGTACATCGAAACCGGAAATAATAGTTTGAGGCTGCCTTATATTTCAAGTAGCAACTAGCGAACGCTGGCCAAATCCGTCTACCAACCTGGATGAACCTGGCAAGATTCTCTGGACAGAGTTGAGCGAGAAAGTGGCGATACATGTTGCAGAGATCCTCATTCTCATAGCTGGTCTTGTATCCCAAATGATGCCACACCAGGTAATCTTCAGTGTGTCTGTTCGTCACTCCTGAAAACAGACAACGCATACAACTCTTTAGATCACCTACTCAAAATAACCAGCAATCTCAGTCGTTCATTTTCACATGTCTTTTCTCTTTCTATCTGTCGCATCTACCATTTGAATGGCGGCAATTACTAAGTGTACCTGAATTGAGGTATCTGAGAGCCAGTTTCAAGTAGCCCCACTCGACCCAGCCTGCCTTGCGAACTGTAGGGTTGATGAGGACAAGGGACTCCATCATTTGAGGGTGTGACAATGCGAAGCGGAGAAAGACATTTGCACCCGCACCCGCGCCAAATCCAATGAACCTGAAAGTTTGAAAAAAATTCATTATTGCTACCTTCTGATTGGTTGAGCGCATAACTTACAAAGAGAAACATTAGTTTTATGGCTTATATGAGGGAATTCGCATCCTTAATTTACAGCGATAACAAGAATACTTTTCGGGAGAAAAGAAGAGAAACAAATTCATTCGAGGTTAAACTTTTCTAGATAATTGTAGAAGCGCGAGTACATTACTTTCTCAATTAGTTTACAACAGCTGTTTAACAACTTGAGGGAGGAGACCTGCCACAGCTCTGAATTGTTTTAGGAGAGTTCAGAATTTTAATTGTCTCAAACGTTGAGCAATTTAAAAGATTAATTGATTGAAAAGCTTTCAAAATTTAAAATCAACTTTAAAGGACTTAATAGAACTAGCCAGTTTTAGATACTGTTGCTGAAAAAAAATTCGTTCATGAAGTTAGATATATGTTAGGGATCTGACACACTTCATCCAAAGTTGAACAATTTTATTTTTCTTCGAGAAGTATAACTCATCCTTAACCTAAATCCAGATTATCATCTAAAGCATCTCTAATTTCTGACAAGTAGTTCGGTTCATTTTTCCGACCGTTTGAAACGGATGAACTTTGTGTTCAGGTGTGAATGTTTTTTTTTTGTTTTAAACGCAAAATCAGGAACTACAAATAATCATCGGAAAGTGTCGAGTGATATATCATATTAAAGTTCTTTTAGTCGTAATTCGAATGACATGAAAAAAAAATTTAAACAACTTCTCGGTGTCAAGAAAAACCCGTTTGAAACTTTTCATTATTAGTCTAATTTCGAGCAAGCAGGCTTACAGTTGCTTATTTATGCTTAATCTAAGCTGTGAAAACTTATTATTACCTGAGTAAGTTATTTTTTGGAGTTTTATAGCCTCAACTTGTGAATCAAAAACTTTCCGCAATTTTGAATTTTTTAGATTTTCTTTAACGTTTTTTTGTTTTCTATTCATTTTCTACAAAAACTGTCGAAACTCCAATTGTGCTTTTACTATGACTGTCGAATATTCCTAAATTCAATCTTTTTTGCTCAGATCTTTTCATCACACCACGCAGAAAAAAAACGACACTTAGTTGAAAAAAAAACTTTTTGAAAAAATGAATATTTAGACAGAAAAAATGAATATTTAACATTATAAAAATTTAGACATAAATTTTTATAATATTACGTTTATAGACAATTTTTTTTTACCAACTGCGTCAAAACTTTATCAAAATTTTTTATTTCTCAGCCAAATCGGCATACAAAAAATGGGACAGTTTTAATTCTCAGACAAATCTGCATACAAAAAGTGTCGCATGTGTTTATATTATTTGCAATATTACAAGCAAAACTACGTTGTGTTTTGTTACCATTTGAGCTTTCGTAAGAAACATCACTTTTTCAAGATTCTATTCAATCTTAAAGCTGCTTAATTATGTAGTTATCGAAAAGCTGAGTCAGCGTATGCTTAACATTTAAATAGCAATTCTTAAAAAAAGTATGAGTAATTCACACAGCATGTAAAATGATACTTTGTATTACTCAGAAATACTCAAACGTACGTTGTAATGCTTTTCTTTAAACTGCCAAAACTCAGTGATATTCAGCTGATATAGTGTTTAGCGTTAAGCTAAGTGTCTTATTGTGTAGCTGAAATAATTTCCTTCCAAAAGGTCAATGAAATTTCAGATATAAATTAATTTCAACTATTTCATATCTCAAAAAACCGTCTATAGATTTAATTTCAGAAAACTGACCCCTACAAGTCTTTTCCAAAAATGTAAGCTTTGACAATTCAATGGATTGACGATTGACACCAGGTGTTAGATATATTATTTTTTGCCTAACTTTGGTCCAGTTAAATGTAAACCAGTTTTAATTTCTGTGCTGGTTCACTTAACAGCTGGTGTATATAGCTATGCGCATAGTTGGCATAAATTCAGTGTAATCGAGCTAGAGTAATAGTGAAATTATTATGTAAGTTTTGATGACAAAAAAGGAAGATGGAGATGCTCACTTTTTGAGGTTGAACTTGTGGCATACAGCCACCAACTGATCGGCCAGCTGGTCCATATTGGGGTATGGGTTGGGGTCTGTGAGGGGGGTGGGGAGGGGTCTGGCGCCGTCCTCCTGTCCAGGGGCTGTGATGTGGTAGATTGTGAAGTGGTCTCTGATCACTGCCATCTCTTGTGAACAGAACAGCGACTGGAAACAACTGCCGAAGTTCATACCTAAAGTAAACAATGCTTATATAAGAAAAAAGCTCGACAAGTACTTTGCAGCAAATTTCCATCTTTATAACTTCCGTCTTTAAAATTATCACAAGTGGTGATTCGATTATCAAAAAAAAAATCGAATGATTGCCGAACAATGTCACCAGAAGATGGACTGATTGCAAACGGAAGATGGCTATTTAGAAATGAATTCAAGTCCCATTTGAGCAACTTAAATTCCTGGTACTTCACATGAAGAGCTCAAATAAGGCATGTACATTTTATCAACTCATACTTAAACATTTTATCATTTTATCAACTCATACTTAAACTTCACTTTTAGAGAAACCTTGATAGTGTATAAGCAATATGTCAATAATTTGCAGGAAATTGAGGCATCGCCTTGTGACAGTACAGGACTTCCGATTCCGGAAAAGTAGTGTTGTATTGTGCAAATCGTTTGTCAATTAGGTCAAGTTAAGTTTCTTCACACTCAGATACTTGAAATGCCTTGTTTGGACTATTGTACCAGCTCCCCTTGCAAATTCAGATTTTTGCATCAGTCACAAACTTGACATATTTGCATTTTGAAATGTCAATTACAATTTTGTTATTGAAGCACTATAAGAAGACTGCATTCACATCATTATGAAAATCTAATTTGACACCATTGCATTTCTTTAAAGAACTCAGATGTCATGTTCAGCAAAACGAGTAATTTAATCTTTTACACAACCTGGAAGATCACTTATAGAATGCAAAAATAGCAGTGAACCTAAGACAGACTCTTGAATGAACTACATGAGTTTGACTGTTCGACTGATTTGCTCCCTGGTATGTCACAAGCTGTCTTCGATTGCAAAGATATCATCTAAGTAAGCACTTATTTTACAAATAAACCTGATTCGAGCAGCAAATTGGTTTCTTGAGATGCGCTATCATTTAAAACGAGAAACGAGTTTCTGGTTAATTTTTTCAAGCTAATAAGTAATTCTTCAAACGATTTTAATTTCCAACACTTAATACAAGATCGAACTAAAATGCCACTCCATCTCCTTTTTTAAATAATCTGTTTTTAGATGTAGGGGGGACATAGCCTTCAATTGAGTTTCAAATAGCTTTTGAAATGATTGTCAACTTAAATATAGTTGTTTCAATTTAATTTTTCTTAGGATTATTTTACCGCTTAAGACAATTCTTTGCTAACATTTCCAATTACATAAACTGCAATTTGAACGCAAATTGTATCAACCGTTCAACCCCCCCATCGATTTAAGGGGGATAAAATACCGGTTTTTCAGAAATTAACTTAAAATAAATTGAAATAATTAATGCAATGAATGAATCGAAACAAAATTATGGAAAAAGTTAAGGCAAGTAACAGGGTTAAGTAGCTATTCAAGTTATTTTTCTGAAGCAATAAATTCTGCGCGATTGTTTGAAATGAAAATTTTATGCATAATCAGTTGTCCAAACTAATACGTGGCTAGGGGGATATTCTACGGTAGGTCACTTGGGGGGATATTGTACAGTTGATGCCGACATTTTAATTAAGTTGTTCAATTGAATGAACATTACTGCTTAAAACATCAAACTTCGAATAACTGCATCCCAAATTACTGACCTATGTCGTGGTAAGTAAAAATAGCGGGCTTTTTGTCCTGGTGTTTGCCCTGCACGTGCACAGTGAGTCTCCACCCGCCCTCACACGCAACAGACATCTGATGGATGTCAAACTGAAGGGCGACGTCCACATCAGTGGCCGTGTTGTCCTTCTGGAACCCGTACTTGTTCATCTCCACCAACTTCACCCCTTTGAACTCCACTTCCGTCAACTGCTCCATACTCTTCCTTCAATCAACTCCTACTTCAGTCACCTTCAGATATTATGACCTCGACCTTCGGATGAACTCTATATGACCCTGAGGCAACCTTTCTGCGTGATCTTCGGAAAGCGAAGTACACCTTCTCCGCTTTTTATCCTTTCAGAAGCCTCGAGTATCGATACAAAAACCGAACTATTAGCAATGTCAAGTGGGGTTTCGTTAATTTTCAATTCAATTGCACAGATTGAATGACATTAAATCTGGAAGACAATTACAGATAAGTAGCTACCAAAATTCGAAAAAAGTGTAAAATGAAAAAGAAACTCTTTGGTCGAAGCGTCACATAGTTCAAACGTTCCGCATAAAAAATTCATCAAAAGAGCATATAAAGGAAAGGACACTATTTTTACTCAAATATTCCAATCTCATTAAAAAAACTAAACTATTACGATGTAAACTCTCAAAACGAGGTCATATCAGGCGACGGGCGCGCAAGGGCACTTCCGGGCCACAAATCACTATTCGCTTTCACGCTGCTTTGGACTGGCAAGCTCACAAAAATTACCAGACCGACTAAATTATCTCCGATTTTGCACTCAAACAAAAGTTTGGCCTAAAGAACAAAGGAAAGGACGCTGCTGTCGCGATTTTTTAAAAATATCTTTGAACATACTCATCGGATAAATCAAAATTCGAGGCTTTGATCATGTGGCATTTTCCTTTACTGTGTCGACACAAATTATTTCAACAAATCATGTGACGAGTTGATTTCTTGTTTTCTTTCCCAAATCTTACTGAAATATCGCAATATTCCTCTCATAAAGGAGACGAAATCTGTCATATATAGGTTACTAGTCGGTCTTAAGCAATAGTTGTCGCTAGCCCATTATTTTCAAAATCAAATAAGATTTCAAAAAAAAATTAGTTACAGCTGGAACCAAATGTCTTCAGTGGTGTCAGGACTATTTGCCCAAGGACAACTGGCCCTATGCCAACTTTCCCTATACTAAATTGCCCCACATGAAACTTTTCCGATGCCAAAACTTGACCCATATGAAAACTTTTCCTATGCCGTTTTGTCCCACAACTAACACTTCTAGATAATTATTTGATGTTCAAATCGATTAATGTATAGGACCAGCAAGTGCTAATGGTAAACTGAACAGCAAGTGCTTATGGTAAACTCTTGTTTTGAGATAAGAAGGGAAACTAACTCAAAATCGTCTAAATTGAGCCTCAAATATCATCTAAGCCATAATTTTTGTCAATTAAACGCAAAACTTTGACAATGATAATAATCCGCAATTAACGGTATTGAAGCAGAACAAAACACTAATATTTATGTTTTGCGTCATTGTTTAAATCTTTTCTCTGCAAACATACAACTTAATTATAATGGGTCAAATTACGTGGGGATAAGCTTCTCTTTTGGTAGGGTTAACTCGACATAAAAATTGCGTTGAAATTTTGCGGCTTTAATTTTGTTCATCCATGCTTTGACTCATTTTGACTCCGCACATGTTTTAATGAATCCGGAATTTGTTTCAAGTTTAATTTTTCAGCGAAAATATCTTTCATGTTCATGCCAACACTATGTTCGACGAGGATATCAAACTATCTGGGGGCAAGTTTTAATTATTTATTATCTGGGACAAGATGACGTAGGACAAGTTGTCTTGTGGGGCAAGTTGGTGTGGGACAAAATAGGCTGGGACAAATTGACTTGGGGGCAAAATGACATGTAACCGTCTTCAGTAACAGCTGTGATTCGCTTAATCATGAAAATATATGTTTTTTGAACAAATTGGCTGTAAATCATCTTTCTTTATATTCATACAGAAGTATGTCAGTGAAAAGCCTTGGGGGGATGTCTCTTGTTACAAGCTGGGACAACCCATATTCGCCATGTTAAAGGCTGAAAACTAGAGTGACTTTACATAATAATTTCCTGCTCATGGTCACTTTTTAATAACATAGCCAACAGACAGCTGGAAAAGTGTGAATGCACTCGAGAAAACCGGAAAACGATAGACTTTAAAAAAATTTTTTTTTTCAACTTTCAAAGAAAAAATACATCACCTTTAAGCTCTTCAAAATTGAAGAACACTTTATGATGAAGACTGGTGATAAAACTAATCCAATTTGAGGAAACTAGGTGAATAGATAACTTTTTTAAAACCCCTCAAAATTAACATAGAGTCGAAGCTGCACTTCGCAAACACAATCAAGGGAAATGCAAAAAAAAGAAAAACAAACCTTTCTATTGTCGCTTAACAATTGTCAAAGAGTAGTCCCTTTAATACAAAGGTCGTAGGTTCAGAATCCGCTTCGGTAATGGCTACAGGAGTCCCAGTGTAATCCGCCTCCTCAAGGAGGGACCGGCTGCAGCGAAATGGACGTCAGCTCTCTCCCCCACGGAATTAAAGATTCAAGGTTATAAGGTGGGAGCTGGACCGGGGTTATTAAAAATGCAATTTTACGACCAAAAGTGACAACAAAAGAGCGCACGACCTAAAACTTGAGTCTTCGCTTCGTTCATTGTCATTTAAACAAAAACTATCATCAAACAAGTTTAACTTTAACATACTTTTATAAAGACTAAGAAAATAATGTTTTATACAATAAATAAAGAATCAGATAACATACAACAATCAAATTGAACACACAAAATAATTTATTAAGCGGGCGCAACTTCTCGCTTTACCCAGAATCTAATGGCCCATCCGAGACAAACGAGAGTGTGGAAAATGGAAAGAACCCAAGCGGCCCATGGCAAAAGAAGTCCGAGGCCGTTGGAAGTTCTGTAGTCGCTATTTGCATTGTTTGCATCTAACAACTCATCCTCAACTTGGTTGAAATATCTGGTCAGAATGGAGGTTGTTACGACTAGGTACCCGAAATGTAACAGGGCCATCATCGCTCTTAGCACCCGTCCGACATTTGTCGCACTTTTTCGGCTCCAGATCCTCAGAAAACTGACCAGCACCAACAGTAGCCCTACAGCAGGGTACATAGCAACAAGCACCCTGGAAGCCGTTAAATGATTTAGTATTTTTTCGGACTCTATTCCAAATTGAGAAAGTGAACTGTAACTGTCGCAAACTGTTGCAGGTCCTGCCCCGACACTCCTCACACAATATCTCCACAGGGTCAATTCGGTAACTGTTGTGCGTGTAGAGACAATTAGACCTTCGGATAGGTTGGAAACACTCATGAAAGTGAGAATAATGATTGACATAATTGAAAGGAAAATGTACCACAACTTAGAGTCTCGCTCCGGAACCCGATCGCGAGAATCGTCGGAGAGTTTCGAAGAATCGCCAGTTGTATTCAAAACTGTGGGAATCTCTTTGCGCGGAGAAAGATCAAAACCTAACAAACTGGACAACTTCATATTTTCCTGCGTGAGTATTTCAATTGGCTTATGGTAGAACTCCTTCAACCAATCACAGTTGAAAAACGCCAGATTGACGACATCATATTCCTGACCTTTGACGTATATGTAGTTTGGTAGCTCTTCGGACTGCGAGACCAGATTTTGGACACTTTTCAGAGAAACGAATTTGATTTGACTGCTTCGTATCAGCTCGTATGTAGTCTCGTTGAAAACCCTTTTACTCAGGAAACCTTTCGGGTTCAAACAGTTCAGAACCTCTAGCAAATGAGTTCGACTCTCGAATGAATCGTACCTTTTGTAAGCCTTCCAGTCGGAAAACTCGGTTAGTTTTCTAGTATCTGAACCAAGGTCTAACTGTATCGAAGGTATGCATGTATTGATGCAGTGTATGTAGTAACATACTTTGGCGATGGGCCTGTCCGGAACTTCGCTCGGTTCCACAAAATCCAGAAACGCAACTCGAGAAAGAATCAATTGTTCAAACAGATTTTCATTTGTGGATAATTTCGGAGAAACAATCTTCACTTCCATATCAAATTCTTTTTAAATCACCCAGCTCAATTAACAGTTCCAGAAAACCAGTTCTTTTCTTTCACAGCAGATGTATAAAAAACCATTAATTCTAATTTAATTTTGATGAAATTTGGAAGTGTGTGACATGTAGAGGTGAATAGTCCATGTTAAGAGAGCAAACATGATTAATTTACTGTGCGCCTTTTTGACGCCAAGATTTTCAAGTTATATATTTTTTCAAAATACAATGGTAATTTGAAGTATTTCTGAATGAAGGAAAGATATGAAACAACGTCTATTTTAAGCTGTGCAGTAAAATAGGAGACCGGAATAATGAAAGGCTAGCAGGTGTCGCTGCATTTTACTATTATGAACAAAACAACGAACACACTAAAATTAGATTAGTAACAAATTGGAGAAAAGCTCAAACAAAACTATAGTTTAGTTTCGTTTCGTTAAGTCGCCAACAAAAATCAATAATGCTTAGATGTCATTTAACGCACTTGATTTTTCAGACAAACTCTCAAAAAATAACGTTTCATAATTTACTTTGAGCAACGTGCAACTGAATTGAAAAGTTCATCTTAAGCTTAAACCATGCACTTACAAACTGATTACGTCAGGGGGCTACAGTAACTTTTCAATGTTTGTATGAAGTATTTTTTTCTACTTTCATTAGAGTGATTTAATAACTTGTGGTTGGTATGGTGTTGTGAATACCGATATCTGAAAGCTTTATAACTACTTCAGGCTGCCAAGGTTTATATGAACGCGTGAACATCAATTGATAAAAAGTTAATCAACCAAGAACGATATTACAAAAACTTCACTCAACTGTTTTTCAAATTAGCGACGTTTTTTCTTCGTGATGTGATCAAAATATCTGAACAAAAACTAGAACTTAGGCATATTCGACGGCCATAGTAAAATAGGCAAAATGTAAGTTTCAGTAAAAATGTTTCCACGGCTGAAATTAGGCACAAATAAGCTTTTGTAAGCCTGCTAGCACACTTTTTGAGCCATTTAAGGAAAAGATGTTTTTTAACTTCGAATGCAAAAAGGGTCAAAACCTTTCAGAAAGATTTTACTATTTTTAAAATAATTTCTTTTTCGTATGTACATGTAGGATAGTTGGGTCCCACCATTTTTATTTGGGTCCCACCACAAGTTCAAAAATGCAAGATTCGTCAATATTAAACTATCATGCGTAAACCTTTATTTTTTATGTTTTCACGAGAGTTAGGCAAATCAATTTTGTCAAACTGAGGCTTTGTATTCTCGTGCTAAAAGTTCAATCATCAAATCTTATTTTCTAACGTCAATGACATTTTTACAATAGCAGAAACAAAATTAAACATAGCCATTTTTATTGTAAATTCTAATCTTTCCGTCTCGACAACAGGTGAATATGTGTTTCGCATTCGAACACACCTTATACACTGCGTCGCAATCCGAGCCAGTCAGCTCACGAACTGTCAACTTCTCTGCACGTTCAAGTTCGGCCGGCTCATTTCCATTGCCAAGCTCAGACAAAATTGACAATGAAGTTACGTCTATCCCCGTGACAGAGCCATCTTTAGCAGCGAAGAAAAGGAAACTGCCGATCATGCCAATTGAGCCTATTGAGCTGCCTTGCGAAATATTCATGGTTAACTTGTGCTCCAAGTTTAGTGGGAGTGAGCTCTGATGTTTGTGTGAATTGGCAGAGATATTGTGCGACTCAGCCATTCCGTTTGTGAATGCACAGATAACAATGGAAGATGACGCAAAGCGACAGCAGGAGATTCTGTCGTTTTCTGTTCCCACCTAGAGCAAAAATAACAAGTGAGGCTGGGGTGCAAATTGGAAACCGAAAAGCGCATAAATTATACTCTTGGCGTACTGTCTCCACTTGGAAACACGTTGGCCCAATTTTGCTGTTTGAAAAATACACAGTCCTCAGCCTTAACATTCTCCTCCAATACGATTCATTTATACGCTGCTAGACCGCTACAAGGTCAAAGTGGGATGCTCGTAGACTGGACACCAAAATAAAGCTATAAAACATGCTAGTTGATATATTTTACATTTTTATAATTTCAAACTTTTTTGCTAGTCCAGCGAGTGCGTACAAACAGAGCCGCATTCCGATGGAACAAAGAAAATCAAAAACTTCTGGTTAAAGGAATTAGCTACAAAAATCAGAGCCAACTGGCAGTTGGAAAAAAGTAATCAATGCAAGGAAACTGAAAAAAAAACCGATTTGTTTCGTTTGAATGTCGAGAAAAAAATGGCCTCAAAGCTCTTTGAATTTGTAAAAGAATTCAAGATGGACACTTTTTTGTTAAAATTAACCCAATTTAAGAACTTGATCGATAAGTAAAACTTTTGTTTCGATGGGAAATCTGATAATTAAATTCCATTTTCGAAATTAAAAGCCGATCACGTTTTTCGTGACCTTTACAATTTTGTTGTTCGATAGCGGAGTTGGCCTTCATTTTAACAAAAGAAATGCTCTGAACTTGAAAAAAAAATACAATTCGAAACCGCGAAAAATCAAAATTGAGCGTGAATAAATTTTAGACTTTTTACTGCAAAAAATCAGAAAGACCTATATATGAGTACTCACTACGTTTATTACTCTTGAAAATAGTCAACAGACAGTTGGAAAAGAGTGAAACATACACACGCGCATAAAACATACACACGCGCATAGAAAAATCGCTAGTCAAAAGACGCAATATGAGGACATGAGGCCGATTTATTATAGACAAACCTATCAAGCGTAAAAAAGGGAAAAAAAGAAAAAAAAACAAAGCCGAAACGACTCAGAAGTTTTTAAAATCGAAGAAAAGAAATATACTAAGTCAATGCTAGTAAAATAACAAATATAACTGACACAGTTGAAAAAGAGTCAATGAACGCAAGAAAACAGAAACAAAAATGACCTATTTTTTTGGCCATAACTCATTTTTGATTTTCCAGACGAATTTATGATAGCAACTTCTTCGAAAAAAAAACTCATTTGACAAAACTAGATCAATATGTATAAATTTTATTTCGCTGGGAAATCTGATTATAAAATTACATTTCGAAACTAGAAATCAAATCATATTTTTCGTGACCGCTGTTCGATACTGGAGTTTTCATTCCTTTTACACAGAGGCGAAGTTACTGTAATAACCAATCAGAATCAAGGTAAGAAAACAAACTTACGAAATAAATATTTTTTTTATTGATTTATTTCTTCCATGTCTCGATTCTGATTGGTTAAAACAGTATTTGTATGCTTACTGAAGAGTATGAATACGCGGTCGTCTGAATACCGCTACGTAACCTATCTATGGTTAGGACGTCAAATGTGCTAGAGACAAGCAACACCGCACGGAAGAAGCTAACAAAATCAAAAAGATCAAACCTCAGAAATCACAAACACGAGGTAATTAGGACATTGAAGAACAATTACACCGGTATTGCAAATATAGACATACAGAGATAGAGAATTTTGTCGATCGTACTAAAGCAGCAGGAAATCAAAAATGAGAGCTGAGCTTGAGAAACAAACCCTCAGTAACAGAATCGGAAAAAAACTCGGTAGTTAGATGCAGCTTAAGACGTGACCCACCAAGAAAAATGGTTGCAATTGCGACAAGAAGAATTCCGAAACCAATGAGAAAAGCAACTGATAAAAACCTCTAAATCTAGCACTGAAACACTTCAAAGAAGTATGGAATAACTGTTAAAATAAGTGAAATGGTTAAATAAACAGATCAGATAAAAAATGACGTCTAAGCACTCCCGTTAGACCTCACTTGACAGGAAAAATTTTAATGCACAGTAAAAAAGTAGGCTTAATTAACGCCAAATCATTTTCCGCTTAAGCAGGCATGTATTCCCTCTCTCTGTGTTCAGTGTGGGTTCTGTTTTGACATACTAATATCTATTGCTATGACTATCTACAAAAATTTCGGGGGCTTGGAATGATTGGTCTTTTTCAAATAATTACTGATTTCATTGCCGTCGATAAGTGTTACATGTAACGCTTCCGATGGAAGTAGAGTCTTGCTTAAAAGTTTTTGTTGAGTATCATATTTCTCGATGTTGCCGATGAAAACATCTCGTTCTCAGCTGGATATAACGCAACTTTTTGCCATTTCTGAGGGCCCCAAAAATTGTTCAAAAAGTTTTCTGTTTTATTTCGTGTTGAGTATCTTGTGTTTGTCGAGATTAAACAGAAAAAATCTTTTCAGAAGTCGCATAGCGCTTGTCACTTTTCGAAGTAGAGATGTAACAGTAGCAATCAAACAAACAACCATGAAGCAATTCAGAATAAAAAGCCAGTGATTTCGTTGATCCAGCAGAAAACTTGGCATAAAAATCAATAAAATTGCTCGTATCAGGGCGAAGCCCTGAATGTTCCGACTGACTTTTTGAGTCTATGGAGCAGTAATAATAAAAAAAAGTCGAATGTAATAAAAAAGACGGTTTTTTTAAATTTGAAAATTTCTGTAAAAACTTAACCCTCCACACGCAATTCAAAGTACAAAGTGATAGACTTCGCTCCTAGTAATGTTCTACAAACTTCCTTTAACCAATTTGGAACGATTTCTAAGACGGATGAAATCTTCACTTACACGTTAATAGCGCGATTTATATCGCGCATTAGTTGTCCGAAATTGGCCAACATCGCAATCTTTAAACCCCCGTAACTTTACGGAAAATGCTCAAAGGCGAAGTATCAATTCAAATTTAAGCTCAGGACAACAAAACCTCTTGAGTGATATTTAAAAGTTTCTGTTAAAAATGGCTAGTTAAGAAGTCGAAATTTGTCTGAATAAAAAAACCACCCCGAGCACAATTATTCCTCTACATTCGTTATGAAAGTCGGAACAATAATAGTTAGCAAAATAAGACGAAATTACTTCAGATTTAATTCATATTGGGTTAATTATATCCAAAAACTTTCAGTGATTATTATTTTTTTTGAAAATCAACCAGAGTTGAGGGCATATATTTTTTATTTGAAGCTCGAAAGTTAAATTTGAAAAACAAAGCTCGGAAAAATTTGACTTTGAAGCTCATTGAACTTCAAAAACAATTTATGACTGGCCGTTTTTGATAAAAATTATTTCAATTTGAGAAAAGTGGATCAATACGGAAAGTTTCTTCCGCTGGGAATTCAAATGGACGTTCGAAATTAAAAATCGATCGCGCATTTTGATCATTTGGAAAAGGGTCAATGAACGCAAGTAACGAGAAAAAACACGGAATTTCAAAAAAAAAAATTGAATGTTGTCCAAAATGGTCCTTGAAACTAGGCCTGTAGAGAGTACAAACCTAACTTTGCGATTAATTTTGTATAGTTAGGTTTACTACTGTATCATACTTCTACCAACATGAAAGGGGGAGAGAATGTTAAGCAGATTAAAAGAGTCATTTTTTCGACCATTCAGAATGCAGTTAAATTAGAATTCTCATAACTAAACTCCAGTGCTTATTTGCTGTTTTACTTAGAGGCTTAAGATTTTTTGGTAGATACCTTAGGCAGGAGATAATTTTTGAAATCGATTTTTTTTTCGAAAAACTTCAATTTTCGAACTTCAAAATAAAAAAGAGATGGCATTAAGGCTCTTTGAAATTAAAAACAATTTACGATTGGTATTTTTGATTAAACTAACCCGATTTGAGAAAACTGAATCAATAGATAAACTTTTATTCCGCTGTGAAATCTGCCAATTAAATTCCACTTTCGAAATTAGAAGTCGATTACATTTTTCAACCGTTGCCTTTTTGCTGTTCGATAGTGGAGTTTGCCCACCTGTCAACAAAGGAAATAAACTGAACTTTAGAAAAATCATCACAATCTATTTAAGAGACTGAACTTTGTAACACTAGTAAGAAAACGACATAAAAGCAGCTCTAAAAGAGAAATAGGAAAAAATAAGCCTTGAATAGTACAAAAATTTTGCTGAGGTGGAATCGATTACTACGACGCGGAGACTTCGTATTCCATGTCCTCGCATCTAAACACGGACCCTTGACAATGCACTAACACTAGCCACAATTAAAACATCTATATATACTAATAAATTGCAAATGGTACTAATTACAAAGAGACCGAATTTTGAAAATAACAAACTTAAGACATCTACAACAACGTTGCACGTAAACAATTGGGACGTTATGTACAAATTAGGCATTTCAAAAACAATTGCGAGATATATTGAGTTTGAATTTTCTGAAATCGATTTTTTAATTATTACACTGTCGTTTGAAACAGATAGCATTTCTCAGTTCATCTGATGAATTAAAAAGGCATCAATTTTGTTAATTTATTACTAATCGAATGTCAAAGCACATGCTATCAAAAAGACTTACAGGTGCCAACAAAAGTGGCACCAATACTAGCTACTTAGAAGGTTGACATAGAAGTCGTACTATTACACTACGCACGCAGTGTAAAAAAGCTCGCGGTGCAAGCATGATAGTTGGTTCTGTGAATAAATAAGTATGAATTTGGTGCCGAGAAATTTTCAAAAACACAATTAAGCCAAGCTAAGCTAATGCTCAGCCTGTTTTCCAAGATTTTTAAGCACAAAAAAATGAATTTTTCACTTTTCGGTATAAAAGTGATAGAGGTCCCCAGAAACTAAACGGGTTCCTACTTTAAGCAGAGTGCCTCAAAAATTCAATTTCTTGCTTTGATGGTGTCAATTATAGACTTCAGTATCGAAAAGTTTGCGCTTTTTCAAACACCCCCTTGAATTTCAATTTTAAAAAATTATTATAACGTTCGTTGACACAATGTAATCAAAATTTGCAGGGTGAACTACTTAACGATTGTGAACACATTTATTCTTCATACATTTCATCGTGACATCACACAATCATAAGACAACTAAGAACAGGGAAAACTGAAATGTGGGGGAAAGTGGAAAAGAGTTTTAAAAAAATGCTCGCTTCAACTTATTTCAATTTAAATAAGTTTTTCAAAATAAGCGGGGAAACTGGAAGAGACCCATTTAAAACTAAGTAACCCACCCAACTGTCATACTCGCACCTTTTTTTCTTCGGGGAAACATCTAAAAATGTATCATATTTGTACCACAAACTGGGCTCTTTTCCAGGGGTGCCGGACATCAAGCCGACGGGACTTCTAGCCGAATCGTAAAATTAGGGACTTCAAGCCGAATAGTTCCTTATAAACTCGTGAAATATGATTAATTTGAAAACTTTTTTGAAGAATTTCTGAAGTTCAAGATCTTTCTTCACAAGTTATTGGCGTTTTCATAAAATTTAAGCCTCCAAATGATGTTTCGGAAAATTGAAAAGTAAAACATGGTTGAAGGCATTTTTCATGTTTATAATTTATGCATTTCAAAAACCGGCTGATGTTATTAACGGATGCCAATCACAAGTGGTGCATTGTCATGAATAACGTTTATTATGGACTAAACTTGCCAAATTTTTTTTTGAAAAATAACGTTTTACAGATGATAAAATAGTGTTTTGAGGTGCTTGTAAAGTTTTAATTTCGGCTTGAAGTCCCTTCGGCTTGAAGTCCCGTCGGCTTATTGCCCTAGACCCCTTTTCCAGTTCCCCCCTTTCAAATTCAATTTTGAAAAGCTTATTTAACGTTGTCATAATGCAATGAAATTTGGCGTGGTGAACAAATCGACAACTGTGAACAGATTTGGGCTCTTTTCCAGTCCCCCCCCTTTCAAATTGAATACTGAAAAATCTATTTAACATTGTCACAATGCAATGAAATTTGGCGTGGTGAACAAATCGACAATTCTGAACAGATTTGTTCTTCATACTTTACAGCGTAACATCACGCATTTAGCCGTAATAACATGTAAAACAAACATAAAACTCGGTATTTTGAAAGGGGGAAACTGGAAAAGAGTCACAACTTGTTTATTTGCCGGGGCTGTAAGAAAGAGAATCACGTTACTATGCATTAACAAAACTTCTGACAGGAGTGGGATTCGAACCCACGCATCCGAAGATACTGCGACCTGAACGCAGCGCCTTAGACCGCTCGGCCATCCTGCCTTACTTACAACACAGAACAACGACTATAGAATCCAACATTGTTGACAAAGCAACGACTGTTTAGCATGTTAAAATGGTGTATAATTTTGATTGATTAACAATTCTTGGACAGAATCGTCTAAGAGGAGAGGGGGGCCCAGACTTGGCATAAGTCTGCGGCGCATGGTGCCAGGTAAATCAGACGACAGGACATTAAAACGACAAGACATTTAGACGAAAAATGAGCGTTAAAACTTGTAAACTGAATTGTTGGAATTTGAGCAAAATCTATATCTCAGAAATACAATGTGGAGTGGAGAATTGCATGTATAGTCAGTCGTCTTAAGGTCCCATCAAAACGGTTGTCGTCTGAATGTCCTGTCGTTTTATTTGCCAGACACCACCCCGCGGCTCATAATCCGGCATAATTACCGCATAAAAAGCCTAACATTCAAAATCGCAGGAATTTCTCGTGTTGGCAATGTAGTAGTACTGTACGTAGTACCACCTAAAACCAGGCTATCGGTACAACGAGTATTAGATTGTCAATATTGGAGCGCGGTCTGTATTTAGACAACCGCGTATTCATAATCGTCAGTAGACAGACAAATACTATAGTATCCAATCAGAATCGAGATGAGGAACCAAACTTATGTTTAATTTAGTGTTATTAAATACATAATAATAAGGTTCAGGGCTGTAAAGAAATATATTGTATTGAAATATAGTGGCAATACAAAAAATACAATTTTTTATTTTAGACAAAGGAAAAATATATATAATTATTTTATCAGAACAATTATAGCTCAAGGACAACCTTGGCATCAATTTAGATCGCAAAATAGGAGACAACTTCAAATATGCTCTGTGCACCTCACTTTACACGTTTACCGTACTTTGTTCACATTTACTGTGTTTTTGGCGATCGTCGAACAGTGGTTTCCTGATTTTTTTCGTATGTAAATAAATGTCTCTAGAATGTAAAGATCGTGGACGAAATTATCAATAAAGGATTCTATCAAATTTTTTGTCAAAGATATATATGTTATATACGTAAATCAGGGGCGGATCTAGGATTTTCTCGAGTGCGGGGGGCGGATTTTTGAAAAATTTGACCTTTTTTTTAGGTCGATCAAATAGATTTTTCGAGCTCTCCCAAAGCACGGTTTTGTCCCAGTTTCGGCCAAACTTTTTGCGCCTCAGGCAAAATTTTGAAAAAACAGGCCAAAAAAGGCGTTTTAGGCACTTTTTGGAAAATTTTGAACGAAAAATTGCGTTTTTTCGGCGCGTGGTCCCCCCTCAAAATTAGTATATTGGCGCCTTTAGAAATTTTTTAGAGTCGGTCGGCCAAAAATGGATTTCTTAAAAAGTATCAAAGGGGGACCCTTTGGGTCGGCAGGAGGTCGAATCCCTGAGGGGGGTCCCCCCCCCCCCCCCCCCCTTAATCCGCCCCTGATGTAAATGAGGATCAGACAATTCGGTCATTGGACGACTTATAATTAATTCCTTTCAAATGCACAAAACAAATAAAATTAACAGAACCAAAAGTACCTAAACATAATAAAACTTTATGCAACTCATTGTTTCCAAAATTAAAATAGTAGCTAAGCAAAAATCAAACTCAACAAAAAACTGCACAATACTTAAAAGCTAACCAAGTTACAGGAAAGCAAACAAGAAATTGGGAATTTTACAGGCTGTCAAAAAGGATAACCACCCCTACCACGTACTGGCCACACAGTTAACGCTGATATTCTTATCAAGCCTTAGACGGGGTAGAGTGCAACCACCTCTCAGGTAATTTGGGTAGTTGATTGAAAGTAATTTGAAACTTAAACTTAAAAAGATAAACTAATTGCGATTAAAATACTGTCCAACCAGAAACCAGTACCGCGTTCAACGCCTAATTTTTGCAGTTAGATGGTCCATTTACACAACTAACATTGATTATTCTTCATTAGTAACTAAATTGAACAACTGGTTGATTACATGTGAATCATTCTCAATGATTCACTTTTAGCAAGTTGACGTAAAAAGGAATTCGTATTATCCGAACGCGGAAAAAAGCATCTTTATCTTGACGGTTACACATGTCGTGAAAAAAAACAACTTGAGAACGGTCTCATTAAATTGCAATGTACATTTGGAAATTGCAGAGCAGTGGATTATTTGGAGGAACAGCAAGAATTCACCTTAAAAACCAAGCACGCTCATTTGCCGAGCCCCTCAAAAATTCAAGCTTAGAATTCAAGCATCAATATTTGCCGGTCGGTCGTTTCAAAACTTTTTCTCAAGCGTAATTAACCTGCCTCATTTGCGCTAACTTATTGCATACTTCAGTTGAAATTACAGGATCAAAAAATGATAAATTTTGAGGCACTTTATTTACATAAGGGACCCGGTTAGTGTCTTGGCACCCCTCTATGACAGTTGTACCAAGTAGACCAATTTAATCCAGTTTTTTTTAAGTTCAAAAACAAAAACGTGATAAAATTACTCAACTTATGAATAATTTATTCATCTCATTGGCAGTATTGATGATTCTTATCCTTGTTTTGTGTCTTTTTACTTATTCCGCCCAAAATTCTTGGTCTAGCGATTTCGTAAAAATCAATGTATAAATGTAGACAACGCAGCTAATTGGCTTGATTATTACAAATGCGATCATTTTAATCAAATCTACTTAACAATCTGCCCCTTTCAAGAAGGGGGAGATTGCTAAATTAGATTGAGTTAGTCAAATTTTCTACCAATCAAGAGGCAGCAAAAATCGAATTCTCAATACAAGCTCTAGTGCTTATTTACTGTTGTTATTTATAGGGGTGGAGACTCTTTAGTTTACACCATAGTGGAGATTCTTAAGTAGTGGAGTTTTATTCTTAGCCGATTTCTAACAAGGCCGAATTTTGAGCAAAGTGAAGGTGGTCAATTTTTTTCCTAGAGCTACTTTTTAGATTTTTTTCTTGTCTGGGTAAAACTTTGCAGTTAATTTGAAATAAAATTGAATGATTAATAAAATATTCTCTATTTTTGACCGATTCGGCTTTTTTCTAAATCGACTTGAAACTGTGAAAAAATAATTTTTTAGATGGTGCTGAAAGTAAAAAAAAAATGGTTCAGAAGGCAAAACAATTCGACCAACATATCATTTTTCAAAAACACACGCACCGCACGTTCGGTTTAATAAGAAAATGAGAACATAAGTATTTAAAAATCAGACCCAATTGTTTACAAAACTTAGGAGAAATAAGTAAAAAGACCCTGCAATTTAAGCGTTATCGTCGCTTACTCTTTACCTTTACGCTTTTCAGACGAAATTGATCGGTACGATGTTTAAAACTGCCCATCCAAAGACTATAGGCTCCCCAGACATTGCCAACAGACAGTTGCAGAAGATTCAATGAACGCAAGTAAACAGATTTTGAATTCCAAAGAAACAATTGATGCGCTTAAAGCTCTTTGAATTTCCAGAACAATTTGTGATTGGCACTTTAACATAACCCTTTCGGGATTGTGGATTATGCTGTACCTTACTTAGTGTACCACGCTATATTACCGTATAAATATGCCGTGACTGCCAGCTAAGGGGGAAAACCTTGAAATCTAAACATACCTTCACAGATGCAAGTTCACAATTGGACAGCAAGTGGAACAAAACCAGTCTGTTATCTTCCGTTGCTATGATGACCATCTTACCACGCGTTTCACTTTCTTCCTCTTTCTCCACTTCGCTTAAGCCATTCAAAATTAATAAAATATCCGAGTCATCAACTCCAATAACATCGATACAAATTATTCCACTTTGAATATTCTTCTTTTTGATCACGTTTCCACCGCCACAGCTCCAAAGATTCAGAAAGCCGTCTGTGGCAACGGAAGCCACATTTTTACCCCGTCCCACAATTGCGACATCTTCCACTGGTCGCTTGTGACCTTGGAGGCTCCTCGCACACTTTCCCGTTTCGCATGACCAGATCCTGAGGTCCAGAGAAGCGGACAGGAGCACTATGCCGGAGGGGAAGAAGGCGAGGGCGTTTATGTCAAATGGGTGACCTAACTGAAAATAGAGCACATTTTAAATCTTTTCTAAAACAATTTCACCACAAGTTCTGAGCCGACGTTGAGAAAGAATAAACAGCAATTCCAGTCTTATAACCTCCATCTTTTACAATTAAACCTCTGGCTCGTTTCCTTTTCCCCACCTGCAAAGTTTTTAGAGTAATTTTTTCTGTTCAAACTGTCGGATTGTTATAAAAGGATTGTCGGTTTGTTATTTGGCATAAGGACTAATTAGGCCATAACAAACATATATGGTCTTCATACTCAACCTTGTAAAACCACTCGTTACACCATGAAAGCGATGCTTGTGTTAGGTGTATGTGTGTGTGAGGGGGGAGCGGTTGGGGGGGGGGGGGGGTGGTTTGAGGGTGGGAGAAAGAGCCAAACCTTGTCACTTGACGGTGAATGACTAAGACGGGACTGATCCAGACAGTGAACTTAAAAGGTAATTATGGGAGACAGAAAAGCAAACAGGGCAGAAGCAAAGAACCCAATTAGAAGAAAACTAGCGTGTGACGCACCTCCGGTGCTCCGAATTTTTAACAACTCATAAAATCCGCATATATTGGAAATCCTTTGAGTGAACTCTGACAGCACCCAGTGACAAGGTTGGTAATTTCAAAATTTGTAATTTTTTTAATCAAGTTTTTTTCTTAATTCAAATATCGAAAAACCATTAAATTCTGGTAAGTTTTTTTTATCTTAGTTCTTGGAAAAACTTTAAAATGGCATAAAAAAGTCACCTCTCGGCAACTAAAGGGAAGTGAGCAGTCATATTAGAACACAAGATTTGCAATCCCGAGAGTACTCGCATAGTACACTACTAACTTTTTTGAAAACCCATAAAACTTCGTATCTCGAAAAACACATAGACTTAAGCAGTCATACTTAGAGGCCAGATTCGCAACACCTGCGAAAACTCTGACAGCCCCCAGCTACAAGGTTAGGAACTTCAAACTTGAAAAAAAAAGCTTTCGGTAAAATTTTTGAAAAAATCACAATCAAGGCCATATCTGGAAAACAAGAAAGATTTGGGAAAACATATTTGAAGGCAAGACTTCCAACCTCTGAGAGTACTCTGACAGCCCCCACCTATAGGGTTGTGATTTCCAAAATTTCAAGAAAAAAATTAAATTTATGATTTCTGATAATTTTTTGAAAAAAATTATAAAGAACGGTATATCTCGAAAACTAAAAAAATTTGAGCATTCATATTTGGAGGGCTTGGGTTAACTATAGAGATGTGAACGTCAAGTTTTGTTAAACTTTTCATATCTAAGTTCTTTGAACGATTGAAAAAAGACATAACAAATGTCGCATCTCGGAACTTAAGAGCATTTGATCAGTCGCATTTGGACGCAAAATTTGCAAACTGGAAGTCGCGAGAGCAGCCTCGCAGTACGCAACTACAAGGATTGGTTTTTCAAATTTTTTAAGTCCTTATAACTAAGTTTTCTTAATAATTAAAAAGAAATCATAAAACACGTCATATCTCAAAAACTATTTTAGCAGCACATTTTAAGGCAACCCCTGAAAGTGGCAACCCCTGAAAGTACCCTTACAGCACCCAACTACAGGTTTGAGAGTTTCATTAATTGTGATTTTTATATTTGAGCTTTATGAAAAATCAAAAAAAAATGTCGTATCTCGTCAACTAAGGATTTGGTTGTTCAAAACTGGAGGCAAACTTCGCAGTCCCTGGGAAAACCCTGATAGCATCCCACTATTGTTTTGCTTATTTCAAAATTGATGAAATAATCCTTTAATTCAAACTAGAAAATCGAAAAAAATTGCAATGTACGATATAGCTTAAACGTGAAAAAATCCTTTCGTTAAACATGCAAAAATGATACGTTGAAAAAACTTAAACATGGCGAGAAAGTGAAGCCTGCATTTAAATATATAATAGATAGATAGATAGATAGATAGATAGATAGATACATAGATAGATACATAGATAGATAGATAGATAGATACATAGATAGATAGATAGATAGATAGATAGATAGATAGATAGATAGATAGATATATAGACAGAAAGATAGATAGTTAGATAGATAATAGATAGATAAATTATCAGCCGAATGTTGAAACACTTTTTATTACAGCAGCTAATCTTATTTTTGTTCGATTTGAGGACAAACTTGGTGTGAAACAATTAATTGTTTAATGTATATTTCGTTCCATTACCCACCAAAAAGCCTTCATTTCGTTTGTTTTGCACGTTATTAAGTTGACTGTCTAGATCCGACCCGTCTCCTTTTCATTCGCCAAGCTGACTTTACGTTAAAGTAAAAGAGCATAAACCATTGAAAAACCAACTTACTTCGCTTTTCGAAGCATGTAGCAATTGATCTGGCTTCGAGGCTGCGGTCAAGGTTATAACGGTTAATGAAGAAAATTTAAAAAATTTCGACTTTTTGCGCGTTACTTTATTCGGACTTCCAAGTCATAATCACGAACTTCCCCAAACCAATTTGAATGAGAACTGCAAATTAAAACTATAACACTGACTTAACTCATAAACACTTAGTTAAGTTTTCGAGTCTGCTTAGTTAAGGTTATCACGGCTACTCTGTAACAGTTACAATATTTTCTGCTCTTTTCGAAAATTTGAAATGTGGGGAGGAAAGTGGAAAATATATTCCATTAGTAAAAGTTATCTAAAGTACTGGCCTTCCAATCTGCGCCTCACTTCTCCCGTCTCCACATTCCACAGCAGAACCACGTGATCATCAACTGCTGAAGAGGAGGAGGAGGCACCCAGGGCATCAGTCACTGCCAGACAGTCTATCTTTCTACCACAGTGCAAATGGGAGAACTCCTTCGAAGGGGCCTCAAACACTATAACAGATCATTTGACCTAACATGTATGAAGTAAGCTACACTTATGCAGAGGCCAAAGCGGAGCTCTGCATCTTTTGCGATACTTTTGGAGCAGAAAATGAGATTGAAATAACTAAATCGAAGAAAAATTATTTCAATGAAACTATAAATTTAAAAAAAAACGCTATTTTACTCCACAGCCGACCTGAATTAGTTTTATTACAAACAACCCTCAATTTTTGCTCATCAAACGCTATACAAAAATTTGTCTAAGCCGAGAACACATCCGCTGAAAGTATTTTAGGCCGAATATAACTTTTAAGTGAAAAAAAAGGAAAATAAACTAAGTCAGCGTTAGTTAATTTGCAAAACACAGGGTTACATCACCAGCGCTTGCAACTGCAAACAAAACAGCTTAAAGTACAAGAAAAATCCGCGATGTGAAAACCACTCCATAAAAATAAGCAGACATACGCGGCATAAATAAAAGCCCGACAATTCAAATTCTCCCAGAAACTTTTAGTAATACAGAGTAAAGAAAAAACAAGGTTTGACCGGCATTCGAACCGTAGTCCATTGGATGCAATGGCGACCTCAAATTATAAACATCAGGGGGGGGGGGGGAGAACCCTGGAAGTTGCTAAGGTTCGAAAAAAGGAATGTGAGAAATGTTGTTTACGGGAAAAAGTCTCGTTACCGATTACAAGACATAAAGGCACTCGCAAACTTATTAAGCAAAGCTAAACCACCCAGTTAAAAAAGTGACATGAAACTCAAAGACAGCAAACAATAAGATTTATTTATTTACAAATATTTTTCAGCAATAGAAGCTCGTTGCAAGTCAAGAAAAAAAAAACCAGAGCAGAACACTGGACCTAACCAATTGAAATTGATGTCGTTGAAGAACACTTAAAAACAATGAGATTGAAGCCCATTCTCCAGATAAATTTGAAGGTTCCACAACTATGCCACAGCTGCCGGGCTCATCACATATATTTGAGAGATTTGAATCGAATGAGTCCATAGTATTGGAAAAATGGCACCGTACAATCAGATTCCACAGGTGTAACCAAAAGCTATCCTACTATTTTATATATCATACATATTTCATTCATGATTCCATGCATGAGGGGAAAAAAGCGTTTGGATTGAGAAAAACTGGTTCCTGTAAAAATCCAACTCGCTAAAAAAGCATACAAGAAAGTTATCAAACAAGATAGTCAAAATACAAGTATCAAGCGTTGACTCTGATGTTGATATGAAGGATACTATTGCAAACTTACGTTCACATTTATAAAAACAATTTGAGATGAAGATCCTGAAATATTGAGGAAACATCGATACAGTTATGCTACCAGGAAGGCAAATCAAAGCTTTAACGAAAATTAACATTTTGATGCTAAATCAAATAGTGGCCAGCGCGAATGAAATATTTGAGATGAGATGAAAGAGTTATCGCTCCGCGAATGTTATGTTTGATTTTCAGCAAGGTAGAAAGGAGTGGAGAACCATTGACGATTATTCTAGCCTTCTAGCCCAGATAAACATCAATCCGTCAAATGCTGCAGCTTCCCACTCACTGGGACCACCACGGCACTACCAAATCATAAGAAAATTTGTTAAACATGAAGCTCATGGCATCTAGCGGCGACGCAGTTGGCTCAAAGGTATGTTTAATCGTGCAGGTAATCCTATTATGACACAGAAATGTTTGTATCCCAGAGACAAAATCTATAAAATGAAGATAGACAAAAAGGCCTCTTAACTTTTAAGCGAAGGCAAATTACACCCACCAGAAAATACCGCAACAAGAGGCTATAAGAGTAATTTCAAGTGATGAACGAGAAGAAAAGAAAAGACTTGGTTAGAAAAGAGTCTCCGTTAACGTAGTTAGATAAGAAATCAACCTGAATTTACCTCCTTGAGAACTTGCTACACAGGAAACCCCTGTTGCACCTCCACTCTCGACTCGCAAACACGATACGAGTAAATGCATAGTGTCGAAACACGAAAACTTATTTTATCGCTAGTCCAGAAAATTCATCGATAAAATCAATTCTTCAAAAATATTGCGAACCCAACATCGCTTCCTCCCGTTGTTGTGAAAAGGCTGTTTACAAAAAGACCAACGAATCAATTGGACCAAGAATTGGTGGCACATGACGCACAAAAACAAATTGAAGAAAAAGCAAACAATTCCGACAGCCAGCGTTTTTTCCCCGGGATAATCAAAACAACGACATCTAAACTAAGTTGCTTAATTGATGCTACACAATTCTGCATAAGCTTAGTTTCAACTAACGTAGCTAACAAAAAACTTAATAACTTTCAATATTAGATCCCCTAAGCCTCACTACGAACAATGGCACCACTTATTCTACTAAGTCTTCAGTCTCCGCACGCCAATATATGTATAACTGAAACATGGCTAACAGAAAGAGACAATACAAAGACCTGCCTATTGAGCGGTTACAATCAAAAAGAAGAAAAACTCATGATGAAGGTTAAACGATTCAGACAACAAATACCTGATGTACACTTGGCTAAATCGAAACACCTCTGGATGAAAGTATACTGGCTGAAATAATAAAAAAAATAATATCAAGTTCTGAAGACATCTAAGGCTGACAAAATGATCTACTTCAAAAACTGGACGTTTTTGTACGACAACAGTTCTAAAAAGTAGCCATATGTGGGGACTTAAAGTTAGACAATATTCAATAGAACGTGCAAGACTTGACAGAGGCGAACCGGAGCTTCGCATCACTCACGATACCACAAAAATAGTATTGTAAGCTAGCAGACAGAAAAGGAGAGCCACTTAGTCCAAAGAACACCAAAACTATTTCGAAAAAATCAAAAATAAAAACTTCAATAAATGTTTTGAATGATGTTTAATTTGCTGAAAAAACGTCCAGAAACAAATTTGAAGGCGTTCAATGAAAACTCAAAAACAATTATCGTGCGCCGAAAGTCAAATTGTTGTCAAGATAAAACTAGCGTATAACGCACCTCCGGTGCTTCAAACTTTTAACAACTCATAAAAAACCGTTTATATTGGAATTAAAGTCTGCATCCTTTAACAAAGTTCGTTGAAAAAATTTAAACCGAATCAAGAAACGTCACATCTCGGAAATTAATAGCACTTGAGCAGTCGCATTTGGACGCAAGATTTGCAACTCCTGAGAGTACTCTTACAGTGCCTAATAATAGTTATGGGAATTTCAAATTTTGAGAAACTTCTAACTTCAAGTTTTCTAGAAAACATTTTATAAAAACCATTTAAAACGACATATCTCGGATACGACCCAGAGTTGAGCGATCATATCCGGAGGCAAGACTCGCAATCCCTGAGAGTACCCAGACAGCCCCTAATTACAAGGTTAGATATTTCAAATTAAAAACTAATTTAAGTTTTCTGAAATTTTTTCTGAAAAACCATTAAAAACTCATCTCTAGGAAACTATCAAGGGTTGAGCAGTCAACTTTGGAGGCAAGATTCGCAATCCCCGAGAGTATCCTGACTGCCCCAACTACAAGGCTAGGTATTTCGAATTTCGAAAAAAAAATTAATTAACGTTTTCTAAACACTTCGTGAAAAAATCACAAAGAACGTCATATCTCGAAAACTTCTGTAATTTGAGCAAACATTTTTGGAGGCATGATTCGCAACCCCCGAGAGTACCCTAACAACATCAAATACAGGCTTATGAAATTCAAATTTTGAAAAAAAAAGTATTTTACCGTCATAACTCGAAAACTACAAAGATTTGAGCAGTCATATTTTGGAGGCAAAACTGGCAACTTCCAGCAGTACCCTGACAGAGCCTCACTATAGAAATTGGAACTTCGAACTTTGCCAAAAATCTATATCTACGTTCTTTGAACAATTTTATGAAAAAAGAAATAACAAAAATCACATCTCGGAAACTAAGAGCATTTGAGCAGTCGCATTCGAACGTAAGATTTGCAATTTGGAACTCCTGAAATCCTGAGAGTACCCTCAAAGTAACCAACTACAAGGTTGGGGATTTCCATTCTTTTGAATTGTTTGAAATCTAAGTTCTCTAAAAAAAAATTTAAAATCATAAAACACGTCATCTCAAAACTACAAGGATTTGAGCTGTCATATTTAGAGGCAAGATTCGCAATAATTGAGAGTACTCTGACAGCACACAAAAACAAGGTTGGGAATTTCGAATTTTGTAAATTGAGTTCTCCGGAAAAATCCAGCATCCCATTATTGAGTTGCTAATTTCAAATTAGGTTAAGAAAATCATCTGAAATATAACTGGAAAATCAAAAAAGATTTCTTAACCATTGCAATAAATGATTTTGCCTAAACGTAAAAAAGTTTCTAATTAAACATGCAAAAAAATACATTGCAAAAGCTTAAGCATGGCGAGATAGTGAAGGCCGCATTTAAATATATAATAGATAGATAGATTTACTCATAAATTTTATTTTGAGATTTTAAACGCTTTGTGCAATTCCGAGGAAAGCATACAAATTATGGCTACCTAGAATGACCCAAAAGTGAGTTGGTACGCCGATGAAAGGTAAGCCAAAACCAATTAGGCTGAAACACTTTTTAAGCGAAAAAAAAAGAACGAAAAAGGAAGTCAAGGCTAGTAGAGTAAATGAAATCATAGAAAGCAACTACAAGAAAAACTGCACACGGCAAATAATTCTAAAATGCAGTAACTAAGCCAACAAACCATAAGCAGACAAATCATAAGCCGACAATATTTTTGAGATGAAATATTTCCCGTTTGAAAAAAAAACAGGTCTTGATCCGATTCGAACCCCGAACCGTTGCCGTCCCAGGCGTATTTATTATCTCCAGACTAAATGAGCCGGATACGCATAGAAATTTGAATTCATTGTGAACAAAGATACAAAGTGATTCTGTTGAACAAGTTGTTAACCCGAAAAAAGGAAAATCGCTTAGATATACAAGAACCCCGAAAAAACCCGGCCAATTTCATTTATACCTACTTTTAAGGAGAATTCAGATGTTTCTAAAACACGGTTAAAAACATTATTTTCTGAAAATTTAAAAAAAGGTCGTGGCCGGTTAAAAAAAAGAACCCAAAAATCGGTTTTCACGATTGAACATTTAACCTGAGAATTGGCACGGTATTTTTCCAAAAAACGGTCACTTCAATTAAGTGAAGGAGTTTCAAAACCTTCAATTGTTCGAAGACATAACTTTTTTCTTAAGGAAACTGGCCGGAGCAAATTATAACCGCAAGCTTTCAACAACCTGTTGTGACAGCTAAACCCATGATAACAGATTTGGCAGAATAGTTGTCGAGAAAAGTCCAAGAAAGGGTCAATAAATCAGAAAGTTAACACCTCCAAGAATCATAGCTTTTTGTTTAACAAATTTGTGCGTTAAAACTTATTCAGAAGAATTCCATACAACCTGTTATTTCGATTGAACCCAAAAAGCCAGGTTTGGCAGAGTAGTTCTCGAGAAAATCAAATAGTTTCAAAAAAGTTAAAAAAATCAGTTTCGATTTTTTCGAGGTCTATAATTTTTTGTGTCAAAAAATTTGGGCGTAGTCGCATATGCAAAAAAGGAGCTTCTGACAACCCGTTTTTTGAATTGAACCCAAAATTTCAGATATACTAAGCTAAGGTAAACTCAAAAAGCTAAGAAAAAAACGATCAAAAAATAAGCTTTACCGAGGACGATAACATTTTATGTAAAAAATTTGTGAGTACCCGCTTATGCAGAAGAGATTCATCAAACCAATTACTTCGATTGAACCCAAAAAGCCAAATTTAGCAGATTAGTTCTCGAGAAAAGTCTAAAAACTTCAAAAAACGATCACCGTTCTTTGGATTGAACCCAAAATCTCAGATATGGGAGGGTATTTTTTTGGTAAAATTCATAAAACTAAAAAAAAAGCTCAAAAAACTAACTTTCCGAGGATGATAACTTTTTTTGTAAAAAACTTGTGTGTGGTGGCTGCATATGCATAAGAGAAACTCCAACCTGTTATTTCGATTGAACGAAAAAGCCAGGTTTGGCAGAGTAGTTCTCGAGAAAAGTCAATAAGTTTCAAAAAACTGTCATAAAATCATTTTTGACTTTTCCGAGGGGTATAATTTGTCAAAAAACTTGGTCGTAATCGCGTATGCGAAAGAGCTTCCCACGACTCAATCTTTGAAATTAACCCAAAACCTCAGATACGGGAGGGTATTTTTGGTAAAATTCTTAAAATTAGAAAAAAAAACGTTCAAAAAATAAAAAAAATTGACTTTTCCGAGGACGATTACTTTTGTGTAATAATAACTGTGAGTGCCATTAATGCATATGAGCTTCTTATTACTCGTAATCTCCATTGAAACCACAAACAAGTTTTCAAATCCGTTCTATTCAATGAAACCAAAATCTTAGATTTAGTAGATTAGTTTTTGACAAAAACGAAAAAACGATTGGTCAAATATTCCCCCCACAGACGTTTTCGAAGGCTGTAGACAAAGAGGTAAAACAAAAAAGACCAGGGGAGTATGCAGATAAACAAGGGTGTAGAAGAACTTGCGATAGATACTCTTCTTGAAAATCGGTTAAATGTTATAAAAAGCAAAGAAGTGGTTAAATGTTCCAAAGCGTACGCATTTTAACTAGTTGAAGAAAAAGTTCCTTAAAAACATCCATAACTGCCCAGATTCGAACCCTCTTATTTAGTTGCGGGTCTCCTTTCCTACTTGTACGCTACAGATCCATGATACCAACAAGTTAAACTACTATTTGTAATATAATAATCTGTGTTAATATCCTTAGCATTGGCTGTACTTAATAGCTGGTAGTTGATCAAAATGAACACATTTTGTCGCAGCAATATTAGCGTCGAAACAATATTTGCTACTTATGTTGGAAAAAAAAGAGTTCCTAGTATCACACAAGCTTTGCTTGTGTAACTAGGGTCCTAAGATGTAAATGAGTCATCTGATTATACCAGTTCAAATCTGAGTTTTACTCTCGTAGACATGCTTTTTTCCAGAAAAACTATACCCCGATTCAAGTTCCTTTTGTACTGCTTCTTTTAAGACCTTCATTTTTGACTGATCGGCTCAAAAATATTCTGAAGGTCCAAACTTTTGCGAACATTGCCTGATGACGCCTTTTCTGACCTGTTTCTTCAAACATTCCTCTGCGCCGCAAAAACTAGTCAAAATAGGCTGTTCGATAGTGATTTGGGATAACTCAGAAAATCAATTTGCCTGACTTAAAAAAGTCGACAAAATCTTTGAAACTCCATTTCCCCCTTAAGAAACTCCTAGATCCCCCTGTTTTATCCTCTCAATATAAAAAGGAATGGGCTGATCATACAATCTAAGACTTGTGTGAAATAAAATCAAGTTGCAATAGAAAATGACTTTTTGTCAAGCGAGGCTCTTTTTCCTTTTCCCACACCCGCAAGTTTTTATAATTAAAATTACTGTTCACATTGTCCGATTGTCATGAGTTGTCACGAATTGAGATACGGACTAATTAGGCCATGACAAACATATTTGGTTTTAATGCTCAACCTTGTATAACCAATCGTTATACCATAAAAATAATGCTCGTATGAGGTGGGGGGAGGGGAGAAGAAAAGAGAGCCGGATCTTGTTAACTATTGCCCCATTTCGATTTTCAGAAATTCAATTTTGGCGGCCACATTTTCAATAGCTTAAAACAATTTTCAGAAAAAATATATATTTATTTTAAAATTTTTAAGTGGGTATTATATAAATAGTGAGTAATACAAATACAAACGCACGAAAATGAAAACGCACTTAATTGTTAACATTTATGAAAGCCATATTTTATACAGAAATGGTTGTCAAAAAAAAACATGCATAGGGGAGGGGGAATAGTTAACAAGATCCAAAGAGCCTCGCGCGATTTAGAGAAACCCGGAAAAAAGTTTGAAAAGGATTGAATGTAGAAAATAAATGTGGTAAAGCCCTTAGAGTCATATTTGCATACACAAGCAGGTCGTCGTTGGCTGCTATGAGCAGATAGATGTCCGTTAGATCACAACACAATTCCCACGCATGTTTATAGCCCTTTTCAAGAATACAGGCAGCAAACAATGAGAAAAAGAAAATAAATGGGCACATCTGGATGCAAATGTACCCTGGAGGGGAAACAATGGCAGAGGCGGTGCATAGAAAAATGAAAGGGTAGCTGCTTTATAAATCATCAAGTGAACGTGATAGTAATCCATCAAAGCTTCAACGATGTAATGATACAAAGAAACTTCATCAGCACTCAGATATTTTCCAGAAAATGTTTAGGCAAAAAACTAACCAACAGACTGCAATTGATGGCCAATTTCAATTTTCAAACATCTTCGGTTCAAGTGAACAACCTCTACGTCTTGCTCGGCGACAAAATCCTCAATGAGGTCCAAAAACTCAATCGACAATAAAGTTCCCTCTTTTTTCTTCAGTTTTGCCTCTCTTTTGTTCACGCCACTTCTGAAGGTGAGCCAACAGGAAGTTCCTTCGGCTGTTAGAGCTTCGTGCCAGTCGCACTGAATATAAAGCTTCACAAAATCTTTCCTCATTACTCTGAAAACATATTACATCAGAAAGACCTCTGCAATCGAGTTGAGTAAGACGAACTGGACTCAACAAATTTGCTCCATTACTCATTTTTCGTAGCCAAAATCACCCGAACCAACATCACCAATCCAGAAACTGCTCCAAAAATGAAGTGAAGAACGGATATAAAGTGATTAATGGCATCGAAAACTTCTCTTCAGCCTGATAACACCCTGCTAACTTTGAAACACTGCCACTTTTTTCAATAGATTCAGTCAACTGCTGAAGTGTTTCTACTGATGTGCAGAGTTTTGAAATTAAAAATTGAGAATTGCAAAGAATGTTTTTTTTAATGAAAAACCTCATTCTAACAGGTAGTTTTCTCAATATCGTAACTAAAGGCAGTCAAATGTGTTATTGGGAGAAATTTGAAAATCACAATAACATCAGATTTAAGTGTCGGAAGCTTTTGCTATTTTGAATGCATCTGGGAAAAAATCTTGGAAATAAATAGTGAAAAGAATCAATAAAGGGTCTGATGATAATAAATCCACGAATACTTTTTTGTCTGCTTATGAACTTGATGTAAGCGCTCATGACCGTCACTATGCTTACTGCTCGTGTACTTTTTGTTCAATTTCTACCTTTTACGAACAAGATTCTTGATCCAGCTGTTAAACCAGAGGCTTTGTAGAATTTCGTTTTAAATCTACACTCACGAATATGAGAAACCAGTCAGCTGATAAAGCTGACACAGTACTTTTTACACAGAGGCGAAGCTGAGCTTGACACCAGTTGCGATTTAAACAAACACATAAAAAACATAAGTAGAAAAAAGTGAAAACGTTGAAAAAACCATTTCTACCAAAAATTAAATTTTCGTATGTCTCGATAGAAATTCATTCAAGGCTAATATGTCAAAAATTTGAGTAATAAATTAGAAACGAAACTAAACTTAAGAAGAGGAAACAAAGCCAAAAATCTTTGCGCAGACATAAGTTCAGCAGAAAAAATATGATTTCATAAAAAATCTTTGCAATTTTAAGTCCCAATTGAGACTAGAATGAACAAAATTTGCACATTCAACTACAAGGATGTAGAAACAAGAAAAGAAAAACCAAGAACACAACTACAAGAAAAAAAACATCAGCGTAGCAACTAAGCCGACAATCTTTGAGCAGACACCTCATTTAACTAAGCCGACAATCTTTGAGCAGACACCTCATTTGAGCAATTCACGCTAGTTTGGTTCTCATGTTTCAATTGAAATAGCTACTTTTCAAAACACTATAGACTGAAAAACGATGAACACATATTTTCACTTGCTGTAGAAAAATAAACAAAAAATTGCAAAAAGCAAAAAGCAAAAATTCAATTACTTACACCAGAAAAAAAAACAGCTGATTGAACAATCAGAAACATCAAAGGTTTAAACAATCAGAAGTATCCAGGGGCAGATTTAGGGGGTGGAGGACGCCTTCCCCTCAGTGATTCGACCCCATACCGACCCAAAGGGTCCCCCTTTGTATTATTTGGAGATATCCATATTTGGTGACGGACCCTAAAAATTTTCTAAAGGCACCAATATATACTTATTATGAGGGGAAGCGTCTTTTTGGAATCTGTTTCAGAATTTGAACTGCGGCGCAGAAAATTTAACCACAAAAGGGTCTTTTCAGTGATTTGAGAGAGCTCGGAAAATCAATTTGGCCGATATAAAAACGTTCGACAAAAATCTTCGAACGAAAATTTTTTGAAAATCCGACCCCTCGAGAAAATCCTAGATCCGACCCTGAAAGCATCAAAGGTTAAAACAAAAAAATTAAACTTAAATTTTACACTTCTATTAAAAAGGGTCTGGGAATCTGATTTAGATATACCAAAGGATATATTGTAAGATTTCAACCATTCTTACAAAAAAACAAAAAGAATATGAAAACAAGCGAAATCTGTGCCTCGAGTTACAAACGGGAAAAAATTATAGTACCCGATTGCAATACTCATGCTGATCGTTAGGATAATAACATAAAAAACCTTATTTTTGCTCAAGCTATTCTCAATTTTGAACAAACTTACAATTTATATCAACATCCTGAATTTACAGTTTTCTAGCCCGTAAAAAGTGGGGGTTTGTAAGAAAACTGTAGTGGCGACCCTTGAAAGCAAAATATTCTATTCAATCGCAGTTTTGCATATAGGTGACCCCTAAATTTACATCACGATTGGTTATGACATGGTCAAGACAGCTACCTCGGGTTTTTCTCATTGGTTTGAGTTGAAGCAAAGCGACATGACTGATTCAATGAAACAAAATCTTTTTTAACCTAAGGTCTATTTTAGTATCAAAAATGAAATCTGTTTTTATTCGATAAACTAACGAGGTGTTTCATTTAATCTTAGAAAAAAAACAAATTTTTTGATGCTCGGAGAACTTTTAATACCAGCAACTGCATTATGATTGATATTAATTCTCAAATTTACCTCCAAAGCATCAGAGCACAGCGTCAATCTGAGATTGACATCTGCAACAGCATTGATACTTCATCAAAAATTGCAACAAAGCATGCTTTGATTATAAAACATGAGGTGAGTAAAATTTGATACCCTTAGTGTGATTAAATATTGTTTTAAATACATTTAAATTATTTTAATACTTCGTGTTAAGCCTTTTGAAAGTTTTTTTTCACTAATCGCCGAATCGAAATTTAAAGCCATTCTAACTTTGAAAACACATTCAACATTTCACCTACAAAATCAGTAAGCGAATACACAATAATACATACAGTGATGTAGGAATCGCCGGTAGACTAAACCGATTTTCAATAAGCGACATTTCGCGGTTCGCTTTTTGACCGAGAGTTCAACTGATTTCTGAAAAGACCTTTTGCGATACAACAATCATAAAAAAAACATATACCCAAACAAAATGTTGAAAAAACTGGGTGAACCAAAAAATTTTTTTAGGTCTTGATGAAGGGTATCTAAGGCTCAGAAAACTGGCGGTACTTATTTTATATTTTCTGAATTTGTTATACTGATGCGGGACGAAATGCGTATTTTCAAAAATTGGACTTTGCCCCAAAACCTTATTTGTTTCTCTACTAAAATAGGTGAGATGAGTGAAATTTTTTCCCCAAGACCTAATATTTCTCTTACAAAAAATAAAGATTAGCCATTTCTGCAGGAAAAAATCGCACTACCGCTTCTTTCTGTTGAAATTTTCCTCTCAAATTTGATAGGGCAGTTTTTAAGAAAGTTCGACAAGTTTCTAAAAAAACGGTCAAAATTCAAAAAATTGGCTTTCCGCAATCGGTAACTTTTTCTGTTTAAAGCAGGTCGTAGCCGCTCAAGTAAAGAAGATTTTCAAAACCGGGTTTCTCGATCGAAAACTTAACCTAAGAATTAGCACAGTAAATTTCGAGCAGAGTAAAAAAACTTCCAACCATCTGTTGGGTCGATTAAACCTATGATATCAGAAATAGCAAGATAGTTATCGAGAAAAATCCAAAAAACGGTCAACAAATCAGTAAATTGACATTTCTGAAAACCATAGCTTTTTGTTTGAAAAAAAATCTGGCGGAGCCGCTTAAGAAGCAGAGATTTACCCAATCTGTTATTTTGAGTGAAGCCAAAAATCTGGAAGGGTAGTTCAAGAAAAGCTAAAAAATTCAGAAAACGGTCAAAACATTTAAACTTTTCCGAACCCATAACTTTTTGAATAAAACAAAATTTGGTTTAGTATTGTATGCAAGAAACTTCCCACAACCCGCTCATTGGATTGAAACCAAAATCTCAGATATGAGGGATTTTTTTGTTAAATTCGTAAAATTTAAAAAAAAAAAAACGCTCAAAAAAATCAAAATTTGACATTTCCGAGGCCAATAACTTTTGTGTAAAAAGATTTGTGAGTGCCAATAATGCACGGGAGCTTCTTGTTACTCAAAATCTTCATTGAGCCCACAAACAACTTTCAAATCCGTTCTATTCAATGAAACCAAAATCTTAGATTTGGTAGATTAGTTTTCGAGAAAACGAAAAAACTATCGGTCAAATAATCACCCCACAGACGTTTTCGAAGGCTGTAGACAAAGGGGTAAAACAAAAAAAGACCAGGGGAATATGTATATAAACAAGGGTGTAGAAGAACTTGCGATGGGTACCCTTTTTTGAAAATCGGTAAAACGTTTATAAGAAAAAGCTAAAAGTGGTTTAAAATAGTATAAGAAAAAGTTCATTAAAAACATCCATCACTGCCCAGATTCGAACCCTCTTACTTTGTTGCGGGTCTCCTTCTCTACATGTACGCTACATATCCATGATATCTAGAAGTTAAACTGCTATTTGTAATATAATAGTCTGTGTTAATATCTGAAAAAGACTTCAGAGTGTTGAATATAATTAAGAGTTGGATAATTAAGTTTCGGCAGGAAACGACAATATAAGTAAATATTTGTGAAAACTTCTTCGACAATTTTTGGCTCATATTTGGTTTTCATCATTAAAATTTTCAAGGGCGTCTTTCTTGCAGGTTGCTCAAACGAAAATATAAAATTAGACCTAGAGAAAAAACCGGGTATTAGCAAACAAAAATGGCTCCAAACTTATCTAGAACAGCACAAATGAATGTAAAGTCTTTAGCTACCAACAGTAAATTGGAATTGAACAAGTGAAATGTAAATGTTGAACGTGTTAGCAAATATTTAGGTATTTTTGGCAATTGTAAGTTTTCTTCTACAAGTCATATTTTGTTTGCTAAAACGAGACTCGGTAAAAAATCTATATAGGATAATAAGATACTATGTTCCAAGGATCCAACTACTGCAGTAATGATGTACCTATTATTCAGTATAGCACTTTAATTTATGGATACTGTAAGTATATATACTCCATTAAACTCGTTTGTTACAACAGAATATTTAAAAATTCGTTCATTTCAGTAAAAGGCAGCATAAATAATTTTCTCCAAAAAACTCTCGATAATGAACTGAACCTATATTTTTTTGAAAAACATATAGACATATGAGCTATTGAAAGTTATCCTTAAATCTGTTAATAAATTATATACAAACCTTTTTCGAACGCAACGTTTAGTTTTGAAAACGTAGTAAACCCACAAAATGATTCACTGCTAATTTACAAGCGAAACCTTTTGCAAACGGAAAAATTAAAGATATTCAATACGTCATAAAGCTTGCAAGTTATAACTCAATGAAGGACACCTAGGGCCCAGCTAAAGCTCGATGTACGGGTTTGATATTTTTATGAATTTGTTATACTGATGCGGTACAAAATGTGTAATTTCCAAAATTGGACTTCGCCCAAAACCGTAGTTGTTTCTCTACTAAATCAAAAGAGAAAAGTAAAAATTTGAGATTTTGGAATTTTCCCAAAGACAACAATTTTCTTACAAAAAAAACGAAGTACTCGCTGCTGCAGGAAAAATTCGTGCAACCGCTTCTTTCGATTAAACTTTTCATCTCAGTTTTCTGAAAAGTGGTCAAAATTCAAAAACTTCGACTTTCTGAAATCCACTTTATGCTAAAACCAGATCGTGAGCGGTAAATTAAGGAAGATTCCCAAAATCCGGATTCTCGATTGAGCACTTAACCTGAGAATTGGGACGATAATTTCCCTAATTTCCGATTTCGTGGTTTTAAAAAAGGATGGTTGAGCCTCTCTAAAACTTTGACAACCGTGCACCGTAGTAAAAAACGCCTGTACGATGTGACAATTTTCTGATGTGCTTGTGAGGTTTGGTTTCCTCAATTGCTTGTTTAGTTTGTTGGGGGTGAATGTTGGATTATCAGACAGAAAAATTGGCAATTTCGCGTTTCGTTTTTGCTATATCAGTAACTGAGGTTATCGTTTTAGCGCCAAACTTAATGGGGTACCTGCCTACCACAGGCCTGGATCCGTTTATGGAGCGATCCACTTTCCAGAATTTTCTGGCACCAGTGCGGTAATCACGTATCTGGAGGATTTTACGCCATTAGGCCTTTGCTTTCTGATTCATGAGTTGAGAGCTAAGTTGTGAAGACGTTTAACGAAAATTCTGTGTGGCTTGCATGGGCTGATTGTTGCGGCGGCCATGATGTCTTTCAGCCAGAGAAATTGACTCCGGAGAACGAGACATGGTGTAGTGACGTGCTGCCCTGAGTACCAGATCTCTGAAGAACTCCAGGATAAGGAAAATCAAAGGGACTGAGATGCTAAGAAAACATCAGGTGAGGAATGTTCAGCATCAGAATTTAGAACTCTTGTTTGGGTTTCGTCCTTTAATAGGACAAAAGTGGATTCGGTGATTTCATTGAGTGTACTTGGCCATGTTGATCTTCATCAACAATAGAACTCCAGAGGGAGCAATGGGCGCTGGCGTCCCCCAACACCAGGAGATCAATGAGAGATGCGTTATAACTGGGTGGTCAACTAGATCTGGGGGTATTTTAAAGTAACTGATACGAAGTTTCACCAAACTGGCTACCACGGAGATACTCATAGCCTCTAGCTCACCGTCAGTATTCAATGTAAGTTCTTCGTATTGTATAGAATTGTGGAAAGCAATGTGAACGCCACCAGCTTCTTTGTTTCTGCCTTTACGAATGAAGGGTATGAAGGACATAGGGAGGGGTTGGGACTTTGTTTTCTTAATTTAGATTCCTGGAAGAGAGCAATATGGATTTATTCTGGGCTAGGAAAGGTGCGGTTTCGCGGATTTCCCCAGATATTCGATTACAGTCAAATTCAAGTACTCTAAGGGTTCATTTTGTCTGTTGGGTATAGAAAGGGTCGAGTAGATTGTGGGAAGAGTTAGTACTGGGTTCTATGAGTGAGTACGATGATACGATATAGGCGAAGGAATTGATGTTGTGTAGTTGAGGGAAACTGTTAGCGGGAGAATAGAAGTGGCTTTGGTTCCGATTTGAGGTAAAGCGTACGTAAAGTACAAAGGCGACAGTAACAATCACGGTGATACTCTTTTAAATACTTGGGACCGCTGCATTTAAAAAGTATCCAGCCACATATGTAACACCAGACAATTGTTTGGTTACGATGTATCTACTGGCTGCAAGGGAAATACGTGTAGGGACCAGGTTTTCAATTAATGCCGGAGCGGACGAGAAAGGTGAGTATTAGCAGACGGAGCAGCCTGGCTGGCTTCAGCTGCTTCAAAATCGAAAACCCGGAGACTACTGAGCTTCCCCGACCCATTGGAGCTTGACGCCAATTGAAACCTGGCGAGCGATACCGCCGGATCTACCACTTGAAGGTGGCGTCGTTTGGATCCTGAAGGCGCCGTCGTTTGGACCCTCAATTTTTTATGACTTCTATAAGATTTGTAAGAGACTTCATGAAATTGCTGATATAATCCAAACATTCCATAAATTTTTGGCTTGAAGTCCCTAATTTCCTTTTCGTCTTCTGTATGCAAAAATAAATCGTGGAGATCTCGGTCCTTCCAAAACTAATTTTGATCAATTAAGGGATGCCACAACTTAGTTCTTTCACAAAAACACTACCCGCCCAATGGACCGCATTCTCAGTTTGGAGAAAACAAAATATTTCTCGCCTAAGAATTGAAGACAAAATTTGCCGCGAAAATGTGGCTAATTTTGGTTGATCATTGAAAATGGCGAATGAGACAAAAGACTACTTCATTTCGGAGTGTGAATCTGATGTCTTGCTAATTGCACGCACACAGCTAAGAAATTTCAAAAACTAGCCACCAATTAAGCGGGTAGAACCAGGCTTGGCATATATCTACGGCGCATAACCCCGCACAATAAGATTCAAAATCGAAAACCCGGAGACTACTGAGCTTCCCCGACCCATTGGAGCTTGACGCCAATTGAAACCTGGCAAGCGATACCGCCGGATCCACAACTTAAAGGTGGCGTCGTTTGGATCCTGAAGGCGCCGTCAGTTGGATCCTCAATTTTTTATGACTTCCATAAGATTTGTAAGAGACTTCATGAAATTGCTGATATAATCCAAACATTCCATAAATTTTTGGCTTGAAGTCCCTAATTTCCTTTTCGTCTTCTGTATGCAAAAATAAATCGTGGAGATCTCGGTCCTTCCAAAACTAATTTTGATCAATTAAGGGATGCCACAACTTAGTTCTTTCACAAAAACACTACCCGCCCAATGGACCGCATTCTCAGTTTGGAGAAAACAAAATATTTCTCGCCCAAGAATTGAAGACAAAATTTGCCGCGAAAATGTGGCTAATTTTGGTTGATCATTGAAAATGGCGAATGAGACAAAAGACTACTTCATTTCGGAGTGTGAATCTGATGTCTTGCTAATTGCACGCACACAGCTAAGCCATTTCAAAAACTAGCCACCAATTAAGCGGGTAGAACCAGGCTTGGCATATATCTACGGCGCATAACCCCGCACAATAAGCTTCAAAATCGAAAACCCGGAGACTACTGAGCTTCCCCGACCCATTGGAGCTTGACGCCAATTGAAACCTGGCAAGCGATACCGCCGGATCCACCACTTAAAGGTGGCGTCGTTTGGATCCTGAAGGCGCCGTCAGTTGGATCCTCAATTTTTTATGACTTCTATAAGATTTGTAAGAGACTTCATGAAATTGCTGATATAATCCAAACATTCCATAAATTTTTGGCTTGAAGTCCCTAATTTCCTTTTCGTCTTCTGTATGCAAAAATAAATCGAGGAGATCTCGGTCCTTCCAAAACTAATTTTGATCAATTAAGGGATGCCACAACTTAGTTCTTTCACAAAAACACTACCCGCCCAATGGACCGCATTCTCAGTTTGGAGAAAACAAAATATTTCTCGCCTAAGAATTGAAGACAAAATTTGCCGCGAAAATGTGGCTAAATTTGATTGATCATGGAAAATGGCGAATGAGACAAAAGACTACTTCATTTCGGAGTGTGAATCTGATGTCTTGCTAATTGCACGCACACAGCTAAGAAATTTCAAAAACTAGCCACCAATTAAGCGGGTAGAACCAGGCTTGGCATATATCTGCGGCGCATAACCCCGCACAATAAGTCTAAAATTCAAAACCCCGCAGAAATTTTGCATAATTGAAGCATTTTGACCAAACTAAAGAATATTAATGCGAAACATTTTTTGAAATAATTTTTTTCAGGTATGCTCAGCTAAGGTCGAAAAAATATTTTTACGCAATTTTTGATTTTAAAGATTTTATTAGAAATTTATACGATTTCACAAAATTGGATCGATATTACTAGAAACCCCAATGCTGATACCCAGAACCTTGAACCAACTCGGAAAACGGTGGTTCAGAACGCACGGTGAAATGAATATGAAGAAAATATGTGAATCATATGTTAATAAAACTTGGTTCATATCGGCCTGCGCTTCATTGATAGCCAGCATTTCTTAGTAATGGCGATCCAATTTTGCAACACAACAATTTTTGATTTTGTTTTTTCATCATTTAGGAGGGCGAATAACCAAAAAGACCCCAATGAGACTAAATCGACTGAGCTAGAAAAACAATTTTCAAATATCTCTGTCAATCGATCAATCATATCACCTTTGCCAAAAAAAACAGAAACAATGGTTCAATGCACAAAAACTAGCTCATGATGATTCTTTGTTCTCTCCACACTTCTTACTTCGTCACTCTAATCTTAAGCAGTATCGGTTGTATAAGGTTGTATTCGTTTTATCGCACAGAAAGCAGACTTTTCACATGCAGATAACGAGTAACAATCCAATGCTTTCCAGTGAGTACAGCATCTTTTTACTATCGCAATTGCAACAATCCTCCGTACTTACCACAGCAATTTTCTTGTTTATAATTTATGCATTTGAAAAACAGGCTGATATTATTAATGGATGCCAATCCTAAGTGATTCATTGTCATAAGTTACGCTTTATAGGGACTAAACTTGTCTAAATTTTAGAAAAGCAACGTTTTACAGATTTAAAAAAAGAGATTTGAGGTGCTAGTAAAGTTTACATTTCGGCCTGAAGTCCCGCCGGCTTGTTATCCTAGACCCCTTTCACCAGATACAACGCAATACTTCAATTAAGATAAACTTAAATCGGAGAGGGTTCTCATGCTTCAGGGACCGAATGCTTGAAAAATTTCAACCAATCAAAATCGCTAAGCGTTTCTATTGACTAAATGCTTTTCTCACAAAATCCAAGTCAATATTAACAGAAAATGTATTAAATCAGTGGAAAATAATCAAAAATATTACAAATTGCGGGTTACAACCGTAATACTATTCAGATAAACATCAAGATTTATGAGTTCAAGTTCATAAGAATTTTTCAGTCTTGAAAACTCATCTGCTTATTATCTAATCGGTCAATATTAACACTAATGGCCTGGATTTATATTCTTTCTTTCGCGATTTACTTTGAGATTTTGAATTGAGCTAAAATTAATTTCAAGCATTCGGTCCGGGGGCTACTCTCATGCGCGAAGGACCGAATGGGCGAAAAAACTTGTGGGCCAAGGACCGAAGACAAAATTAGCCGAAAGTCAATTTTTAAAAAGAAGCAATTTCCATTCAATCAAAATGAAATAAAAGAATCAATATTTTGCTTCTTTCCTAACGAAACCCTTGAAATATGAAAATCTGTCCCAATTCGGCGGCGGTCAGAGACAATTTGAAAATGTTCCATTTTTCTGCCGTTTTTATATTCGGCCAATATCAATACTCAGTCCCTGGAAATGTTTACTGTCTTTCCAAATTTTAGAGAACTGAAATCTGATTGGCTGATTTTCATTTTCGCGCATTCGGTCCTTCGCGTATGAGGGATTCCACCATTCGGTCCCTCAAGCATGAGGGACGACACCCTTAAATCAGTTGAACATTCGAAAAGGATGCGGTTAGAACAAACAAAACTTAGATGAGAAACCCTTAAAACATTGTCTTTAACCAGACTAAATAGCGCCATTACATCTGTCAATCAAATTTGTTTATCGATAAAAGTTTGGTCCCCCTAAACAGCACCTTCAAACTGGGTCTAGGACAACAAGCCGACGTGACTTCAAGCCGAAGGGACTTCAAGCCGAAATTAAAACTTTACAAGCACCTCAAACCACTATTTTATCATCTGTAAAACGTTATTTTTCAAAAATTTTGGCAAGTTTAGTCCATAATAAACGTTATTCATGACAATGCACCACTTGTGATTGGCATCCGTTAATAACATCAGCCGGTTTTTGAAATGCATAAATTATAAACATGAAAAATGCCTTCAACCATGTTTTACTTTTCAACTTTCCGAAACATCATTTGGAGGCTTAAATTTTTTGAAAACGCCAATAACTTGTGAAGAAAGATCATGAACTCCAGAACTTCTTCAAAAAAGTTTGCAAATTAATCATATTTCACGAGTTTATAAGGAACTATTCGTCTTGAAGTCCCTAATTTTACGATTCGGCTTGAAGTCCCGTCGGCTTGATGTCCGGCACCCCTTCAAACTATCAACATCTAGGTAAACATTTTTAAGGCTGCTCAAATTTTTCCTTGAATCAACAATTTTCACACTAATTTTGAAACAAGTGAAAAAGTGCAATTCTTTACTTTCTACTTAGAAGAGACTTTTGAATTACATGATAATACAGAACATTGAAAAAAGTAATGAACGCAATGTACATAAAAAACTGACTTTCTTGAAAATTGAGCTCAAAAAGTGCATATATACTTGAGTGCAGGTGCGGATCTAGGAATTTCTCGAGGGGGGTAGGTGGGGGCGGATAGATTTTCAAAAAAATATTGAAAATTTTTTCGACCTTTTTTTTAGGTTGACCAAATTGATTTTCGGAGCCACTATAAAGACCCTAAATTGACCAATTTTTCTGCGCCGCAGGAAAATTTTTGAAAAAAGGCTCCCCTTCAAAATTAGTACAGATCCGGCAGGGGGTCGAATCCCTGGGTGGGGGAGGGGCATCCACTGCTCCCTCCTCCCCCCCCCCAAAAAAAAATCCGCTACTGCCTGATTGCATTCATAAATGCATCAATATGTATGAATGCACATCTGTAGTTTAAGCATTTTGAGACTGAAAAAAAAAATCAGCAAGACCTATATAAGAGTCTTCACTACTATGTTCATTATTTTTTTTTAAAAAAAACAATCGAAACATGACTTGTTTTTTCTCAATTTATTTTGCAAAAATAACTGCTGTCTAAAAGTTCTGGCTATCTGCATTTATTTCACCGGTTAAATTTTAATATATTTTTAAATTGAAAATGAGACTTTTAAGTAAAATAATTTCTGTTTCGATTGATTTCAGGAAAACATTTGTACAAAATCGTCATATTGGCTTTACTTCTATATATATCATCGTTGTTCTACGGGCAAAAAATCGACGATTCGAGATCAGAAGCCAATGAACAAAAAATGGGCAAACCCCTTTTCAAAGAATTCGCTAGTAGCAACCCGAAACAAAAAATGAATACTCGCTTGAACAAAACGCTTTGCCACAAACTCGTTAAAAGCAACTTGGCATACTTTTGCATTGGTTATTCTGCCATTTGCGACCAAGTTGACGGGGTTTATGCGGAAGAAAAAGCCAAAGATGAAAAGCTGTGCAATCTCCTCAACAGACTGGGCTCAGATAAATGTATTCAACACGACTATGCATACCTGTACGACTTCCTGTTCAAAAACATTCGACATGAACGACTGAATATTCTCGAACTGGGACTGGGATCTGTGGAGGACAAACGATTCCCATCTCAGATGATGGCAAAATACACAACAGGTGCATCGCACAGAGCATGGCGCGAATACTTCCCCAACTCGCAAATATTCGGAGCTGACGTCAATCCCGACAGTGTGTTCCAGGAGGAACGCATCACAACATATTACGCAGACATCACCAAAAATGACACTTTGAACAGGATGTTCCATCAAATCGTGGTGCCACTGGACATTCTCATCGATGACTCACTTCACAGACCAGGTGCACAGAAGAACCTATTCTCTGTTGCGTTCCACAAGGTGAAGCCGGGAGGACTTTACATAGTGGAAGATATTGGAAAGACAGTTCTATGTGAAGAACACTATCAGCATTATATCGACATAGGGTTGAAAGACTTTGCATTTATTCGGACCAACAAAGTGGGCGATAGCATTGTATCTGTCGCCGTCAAAGCATCACTCTAACAGCTCCCTCTTCTGAGAAATTCCATACTGTGCATTGCTTCTAACATCTAACTTTATAACGTTTAACCGCACAACAGTTCAAACATAATTTCTTATAACAAACGATGATGTATAAACTATGATAAAACCTTTACTAAGCCTAATGTTTCGTCTCTGTACAAAATTAATTTTGAGCAAAGATTGATAGTTTTCGGCAGACAACGTACTCCCAAACGTAATAGGTGTTTTTCTAGCAGACGGCCGCTAGTGGGAAATTGATGTAGAACATGGATCACGCCGCATGTTAACAATTTCTCTGTTTCTTGGATCACTCGTGAAAGATAATTTATGGACAAGATTGACGGCTCATGTCTTACATTTCACCGGTTAATTAATACATGGCTTCCATATATGCCATCATATAGATTGAAAAAATTCAAGAATATCAACCGTGCTTTTTTGAAAGATATTTTGATATATTCAGCCAAAGTGAATTAATCGCTCGGAAAAAGGCAATAAATCGTACTGTAGGGAAAATTCCACCCGGGAAATTTAAGGGAATCGATAGTACCTTACTGCATTGTACCTTACTGGTATAATTCGATATTGCCTCAACTTCGCGATTAATCGACCTTATTTTATCGCTTGAATCAAAATTGGGTTCTAACTGAGTGGGGAAAATGAATTTCAAAGTTATTTCGATGACCGGGATTAAGTTATCAGAGTTCGAACCCATTTTTGTAAAATTCATTTTGCTCGAATCGGATTCTTCCGTACTTGAAAACATGCACATTTTCCCTCTGCAGTTGTTTTCAAAACACGCCCTTTGCGTCCTGCGTTCTGATTGGCTAACAAGAGGCCCAGCTAAATCTGGATGTACCAGTTTGATAATTTTTTAGTTTGTTAAACTGATGCGGGATGAAAAAGGTAACTTCAAAAAATAAGAATTGGGCTTCTCCCAAAACCTTAGTTGCGGATCTATTAAAAGTTGCTCGCTCTTATGCACGGAGGCTTCTCACAAGCTATTGCCTTGATTAAACCCTTAATATCAGATTGCGTTTCAAAGTTTCAAAAAACGGTCAAAAAAGTAAAATTTTGAGTTTTCCGAGGGTCATGACTTTTTTCAAAACTATTTACAATAACTTATATAATTGAAAAACTATCATTTTCCGGCACTATCCTTGCATTTAGATAAAAACTGTTATTAAAAAAAACTAATTTGATCAGCTCTTGCTTAATACTAACAAACCACGAATTTAGTGAGCAAGGCTGGATGTAAGAGCCCAAATATTCTATCATAGCGGTTCTGGGGTCATAACGACGCAATTTCGAAACAAAGCCTCATTGTTTTAAGCTTAGATCGCAAGCAATCAATGAGAGAATTTAAGCAAAATGGGCTGGATGTAAGAGCCACAATATTCTATCATAGCGGTTCTGGGATCATAATGACGCAATGTCGAAACAAAGCCTCATTGTTATAAGCTTAGATCGCAAGCAATTAATAAGAGAATAAAATGACAATTTAGCATTTATGTAAGCACCAAGGTATTTGCATGATCTTACTGCATACTTTTGAAAGGCATGCTTTTATGATTTAATTGCTGGTTAGAAGCACTTTTTAGAAATAAACTAACTTGTAACGTTTTTTTTTATATATCTAGAAGTAAATTATTCAAAATTATCCACTTATTTATAGCTTCTAAGTCATACCGAACTGTCTAGAACAGTTATATTTGTGTTTTTGGCAAATAGAAAAACTTAGCTTTTTTGCAGACTTTTGGAGAATCGTAAAAGATACAGCAGAGTCCCAATAACAGATCCCTGCGGGACATTCCAAATTTCGCCAAGTTGATCGCGTTTCTCCAATTTCGACAACTATTGTGCGCTGCTTCATGTAACTTATGAACAAACGCAACATTTTCCCACGCATGTCATACATTTCTAGCTTATGAAACCAAAATATCGGTGATCTAGTATGTCAAAAACTTTTAAGTCAAGAAAAAACTGTTCTCTAGGGTGATTTAGTTTTATTAGCATGGAAAGTACTGTACTATTTTCCGGATACCCAACTGTTTGATAAGAATAAGTGAGTTTCTTTCAAGGTAGCTGTACATTCGGTTGTATATTGCTCGTTCACAAACCTTACTGCAGGTTACAAGAAATCATGTTGGTCGATAGTTTCTGACATCCAGTATCGATCCTGTTTTACATAGTGGATAAACATCCGCTTGAGCCAGAGCGGTAGGAACACATCCTGATTTAAAGGACAATTTAATGACTTTTTTCAAAAGAGCACAACTGCGAATGAACTAGCTTTTGCGATTAGATAACCTATTCCATCTATTCCAGAATACAATTTGTTTCGAAGCGCAAAAAGAATAAATTCACTTTCACACTCAGTAAAAAAAATTAACGCGAATGCAAAACTTATACCACTACTTTGCCACTACTTTTTTAAATATTTTTGTGCTATAAAATAAAATTTTTGTGCTACTAGATGTATTTGCTATATCCATTAGCAATTTGTATACCTTCTTGAAACACCATAACAGTTTTTGAAATTGTTATAGTAACGGCGCATATTTATCCAAAAGATAATTGTATCTCGATTGAAAGTCTTTAAACGAGTCAATCACTGACGGCTATAGTAACAAACGAAATGAATTTCTGCAATTCAGGCATTATGGAGAAATTGAAATTTTCGATTTGATCTTCATATTTTGGAAAACTTGTATCACGATAAGAGTTTGAAAGTTCGATCTGCGGGGTGACGAGTCTCAGCTTTAGGGTAATGAGCGAGTGGTCACAGAAGGTTTGATTTTCAAGCGTAACTGCACGTTTTACCACTAGACCAGAGATTTCTTCAATTAAGAATTTCACAGTTTAAAATTAAAAAACAACAACAAATGAGTATTGAAAAATGACCTCTACGGGAACTATTCCTCGGTAATCGAACACTTATGCTTTCCAGCTGGCTACCCTCCACAATTATGCCACTGACGCTTATTGAAATCAAATAAGGCGGCAAAAAGGAGGTTCAAAATTCACAAAAACAGCGACTTTTGAATAGACAAAATTCGAATGTAATAAGCTTAAGGCAACCACAAACTAAAGATGTAAAATTGGAAAGTTTACAGACAAACTGTGTGTAAAATAATCATTTCAACAATCTCGCAATAATATTAAATCTGGAATCGAATTCTAATTATTATATTGTTACATGAAACAAATAGCTTTTTTGGTTCAATTTGTGAATTAAATCATAACCAATTAAGTTGGAAAAGAGTCAATGCAGGCGAGTAAACAAAAAAATATTGACTTGTTTTTTGAAAAAAAAACTTTCGAATTTCCAAAAAAAAACAGATGGCCTTATAGCTCTTTTAATTTCTAGAACAATTTATGATTGCCAATTTTTTGATGAAATTAACCCAATTTGATAAAGCTGGATCAAAAGGTAAAATTTTTATTTCACTGGAAAATGTGATAATTAAATTCTATTTTCAAAATTAGAAGTCGATCAAGTTTCTCAAGACCTTTACACTTCCACTGTTTGATAATGGAAACTGCCTGCCTTTTAACAAAGAAAATGAACTGAACTTGAAAAGAAATCAAAAGTCAAACCACCAAAAATCAAATGTGACCGTGAGCAAACTTTAAGATTTTTTCCCAAAAAAAAACGAAGGAAAAAATCATTACGACCTATATAAGAGTCTGAACTAAGTTCATCAAATCTTATAAAGTATATACTGTGTTAACTTATTACAGCTAAAATATCAAAACATATGGTATTATATTGCCAATGCTGCCTCCTGCTGTAAAAGTACCCTAAAAGTAGCATTTTCACATTGGCAAAAATGCCACCAAAAGAAGTACATTTATTTGCTATTTTTTCGGAAAAAAATTGCATCGTACTATCACACTACGCTGCGCTTGTGCAAACATCAATTATACCTATTTAACTATTCAAAATAACTATTTAAATAATTTTTTTTTGCCATCTCATTTCCTCTATTCTTTTTTGCGCCCCACCCTTCCCATTCTGTATCGGTTATTGTTGGCCTGGATTCTTCTAGTGTTTACAATTTAAGTTTTCAAAAATCGGTTTCGGACTGGGATCAAGCTAACTAGAGAACTCTATTCAGCCGAAACAAAGAAAACGCCGCAACCGTTTTCTGATATTAATTTTAAAATACGAATACGTTTATACTGCATACAGTGAAAAACCAATACAACTAGCACCATTTCTCAGAGCGTGTCTGATATTGGGTTATGAAACTACGTTAAATTCAGCAGAAATGAAAGGCCAGCAGCTTACTCCTTAAATCTTCGATCGGTCAAAAAGGCAAAAAAACTTTTGGGAAAAATCTTCATAAAGGTATAAAAAGTGATCTCTTTCTACAATTGGAAACATTTTTCTTTGGTGGAAGTCCTCATTTTAAGTCTTGCCAATCGATCTCACTCCAATGAGTTAATGAAATCAGAATTTTTTTTAGAATACACATGCACGCCAAATGCTTTCGCTTTTGATTTTCACGGGCCATTGTAACCTAAATTCATTCACTAATTAGAGAGAGATGAGATGAAAAGACAAAAAATGAGGTTCCGCCAAACAGATCATTTTATTCATTCTTGTCATAAAAATGCCACTACAACTTTGAGACGCTCAACCTTTACAGGAATCAATTTCGATTTCGAGTCATAAGATCGTTTGCGAATGCCCGAAAAAAAACAGCGATGCTTATATGTTTCGGTATGTCGAACAAAAAACATGAACTGAATATATGGCTGGAAAAAAATTTGATAGCAATCAAAACTTAATTATCAAAAATTTTCAAATTTCCAAATGATGAATATTAGTGACATGATTTTATTAAATTCAAGTGTCAACATACTTAAAGAGTAACGCTACAATTTGGAATATAATATATTTAACTCTAGGAACGGATCAAAACACTATGAAATGGACAACTTTTGCCGCTCAGCGTGAACTTGATCGAAGCATTCTCGCATTTGTTGTGCTAGATCCGACTGCATTTTCACATTTTTAATCTTTCCATTGGATCTTTTGAAGTTGAAGCTGAAGCTTCCTTCGCTTTCGACCGACCAGTCATCAACCGTACTCCAAGTACATGTTACACATTCATAGTCCAGTTCTGTTCCGCTCTGGTCGCATATCTTCAGGTAAACTGCATTTTCATCCACGCTCAGTTTCAGCGGGTTCTCCTTTTGAACACTACTCGCACAGTGAGGAAACGTAACCACGTTATACGTAGGAACAGAGTGCAAAATATCAATAGTATCCGAGACATTCTTCAATTTAAACGACTCTGTTAGTTTCTGCCTCAAATCCTCGGACTCCACCGGTATGATGCCAGCCTTCAAATCTGCCTTTGCCTGGTGAAAAAGGAAGTTGGAAAAGGTCGGATGCTGATCGCTCAGCTCTTTCTCCAGCTTCCGAGAGAAAACACATTTACGCAGATACAGTTGCGAAGCAGCTTTACGCTTCACAGCTCCCATTTCTGTTTCATTCGGTAGACGAAGATAAAACTTCGTACTTGAATCGGAGTCTTGGAGAAAGAAAATTCCGAAATAGGGGGCTAACTTTTGAGAAGGAATTTTAAGAGAGTTCAGACATTTTTCCACAAGCTGGCCAATATCAGAACAGGACTCTGATAATATTTCCACTTTGCTCAGGTCTCCGGGCAGATTTGTGTAGACAGTTACAGGTCGATCACTTGGCTGTTTGGGTTTGCTTTCTGAAACAGGAACTGACAACGTCGAGCTTTCGTTCCGTTCTGTTACTCCATTCTGGGGTTTAATATAGTCGTTATGTGGTCTAAATAGAGAAGAACATTTGAGCGGATATAACTCTTTTTCACGCTGCAGATAACTTACCGTTTCGCTGTAAAAAAAACATTGCCAACAGACAGTTGGAAAAAGAGTCATTGAACGCTAGCAAAAAGAAAAACAACTGACTTGTTTTTGAAACTTCCGAAAATCAAAGAAAAAAGATACCCTTAAAAAACTTTGAATTTCTATAACAATTGATGACTGTCACTTTTTTTGATAAAATTAACCCAATTTGCAATTTGTGAAAACTGGATCAATAAGTATAATTTATATTTCGCTGGGAAATCTGAACCTTAAATTCCACTTTCGAAACTAGAAGTCGATCACATTTTTCGCGACCTTTACATTTGTGCTTCTCGATATTTGAGCCTGAACAAATTTTAAGAATTTTCCTAAAAAAACTTTAAAAAAATCATCAGCACCTTAATAAGAGTCTGAAATATGTTCGACTCTTAAAATTAGTGGAATGAATTGATTAAATTACAATTACAATTCCAATTCTTCTTAGCCAATCTTCCAGTCCGAAAAAAGACGACGCGAAATTGACCAGTTAAAATTTAGGGAACGGGTTTCGAATTCAAAAAATAAAGATTGACGCACTCCAAAGAATTAGGGCTGACGTGACTCTTCATGGGAACATCATCAACTGAGGAATTCGATTCGAGAGCCACGAACTCCTGCATGGCTTCAAATGCAGCAATGACCTTGACACTGATGACCTTCTGAAGGTAACTCTCTAAACCTCTTCTCCGCTGCTCAATTTGCTGTTCGTTCATTTGGAATGGCCACTTGCCAGGCAGCTTCGGGAATTTGAAGTCGACAAATTCCACTTTCAACGCATTGTGTAGATCGACAAACTCACTATAACGACGCGAGCATATAAACTGGTCGTCGTAGTGGATTTTGAACACGTAATATTTCTCTCCCGGAGTTACCACTAGTTCGAAAGAAGGAACCGATATTGGCCTGAAGCTCGTGTCTCCGTAGTCGTGGAAACCATCTGTTGTCAGGGCTTCATCAGTCGGTTCAAGTCGCTCATGGGTTTGGCGACTTACGCTAAAGCATACGCTATCATATTGAAATCAACCTGTTGATAAAACAACACCAGAAAATATCATCTCCAAAACCATGTACTATCTAATGTAACATTTATCTGACATCATCTAACATTTATAAAATGAACAAAATGATTAAAGAGAGGAGAGACAAAAGGTACAGTTAATGCCCACTAAAATTCTACCATTGAAAGAAAAGATATCATAAATATATCATTATTAATATCATTTTTTATTGAAAAAATACGTTTAGGAAATTTCCTAATTTTTTTATGGATCAAAGCTAAACGAATGCGTATGCAATTCAGATGCACTAGCAAAACTTCTCGCCATGTATACATTTAATCTACCGTTATGGTAATGGTTTAATATGTTCCACTAGTACTTGCAGGAACTTTCTTAAGCGAAATTACTTCTGCGGCTTTATATTGTCCCTGACCGATTTCCTATGGTTTACTCACTTATGATTGCGGTTCATAACCAAATTGGATTTTAAAAATTTTGGTTTAAAAAAATAGAAAAATTATCTAAATCAAGGGGTATGAATTTATCTTCTTCAAACATCTAAAAACAACTGTACTTGAATGAAAAAAAAAACTGCTGGTGTAAACGCTTCTGTGAAGTATTTTCTGGTTTCTGTGTCTATAAAGTTCCCCAGGTTACTACTTTATGGTCATTTACGCCTGAATTTTGTAATTCACTTTAAAAACTACTTGAGTCTAAAGAAACCAAATTTACAAAAATAATAATAACTTTTGAAAAATTGCGATTTCGCAATCATTCCAAAATTCAAGTTAATGAGAAATCCTAATTTACAAGTTATTTTTACACTAAAAGGTCAATACAACAATAAGTGTTTTTATTTTTCCTTTCGCAACTTTTTCTAATTACTTGAAAAAAGCACTATACCACTATTCATAAAATTTCCAATTTCCCAAAAAGAGAAAATAATTAGACAGCCAAAATAATACAACAGACAAGCAAAATTAAGGGGCAAACAGGCTCAATTGAAAGTTTTCTTTCATCAATTGAGCTTGTTTGCCACCCAAAATTTTAACAAAGAGAATTGCTCAAGCTTCATTTTTCAACAAGTTTCGAACTTTTCAAACAAGAGCGAAAATAATAAAAGAGTCATACGTTGCACGTTTTTTGGTCACAAAACCGATTTGATTGTTCATTGAAAATGGTTTACATTGAAAATGGTTCGTTACAACTTTGCTGGGAGAAACCAAATGATTGGAGCTATTAAATTTGAGGCAACTTTTGAAGAAGTTTCGCAACTTTTTCGATGCAAAAAATAAAGTTGAAAAAATTCGGAAAAAAAACAATTCTAACTGACACTGTTCTGACCGACCAGAGAAAGCCACAGATCATGAAAAAAAGACAACTTGTTAGATATTTTGGCTCGGACCCAATTTTGACTGCAGCCGGAAGCGGAATTTCAGTCAAAAACGGCTGCCCGGATTTTGCAAAAATATGGTTTTCGATATTTTAGGCCCCTAAAAACCAAATAATCTAAACGAAAAAATAGGGAAAATAGCCACCAGAACTTCGCGCTGGAATAGACAATAGAAGGAGGATCTTTACAGATATGAAAGTCGATTCTGCCTATATAACAATGATGGAACGCAATAAGCATAGATCGCTGAAAAAAAAAACTATGGCATGCGCTGTTATCACTGGAAATTTTCGAATGAATTTTGTCTTAATTGAAGGAAAATTGAAATAGTGCCATTTAAGCACCAGTACCCCAAAATTTGTAAGTTTCAACAAAACAACTTGCCTCCCCCATACTGCCTGACCCAGTAAACGATACTTGCAACGAAAACGATTTGAATTTTTCCCTGGCCTTCTGGTTCACCGGATTTATCTCCTATTGAGCATGCGTGGGACCAGCTGAAAATAACATAGCCAACAGACAGTTGGAAAAGGGTCAATTAAAGCATGTTGAAAGAAAAAATCAACTTTCAAATTTCAAAGAAAAAAATAGATGCCATCATAAATCTTTGAATTTCTAGAACAAATTATGACTAGCAGTTTTTTGAAAACACGATTTTGAAAAACCGATTTCAATAAGTCAAAGTTTTATTTCGCTAGGAAATCTGAAAATTGAAATTCACTTTCGAAATCCGAAGTCGATCACGTTTTTTGTGACCTTTACATTTTTGATGTTCGATAGTGGAGTTATCCTTCTTTTTTAACAAAGGAAATGAACTCAACTTACAAAGAAATCAAAAATCAAATCTCGAAGAACTATATCGGAGCCTGAACAAATTTTAAGACTTTTCCTGAATAAAAATCATCACAAACTATACAAAAGTCTGAACTACGTTCACCGACTCGTAAAAACTCGACCAATTCTATAAAATATTGAGCTAAAATCGGCACTCCAATATTCATGGCTGAAATTCCCGCAAAGTTCGATAACACTTACATTGATTCAATGCAGTCGAACTTATGGTTGCACATTGCAATCGTTCATTTCGACATCCTACCCGCTATTAGTAATCAAAAAACCAAAACGTAAGTTATTTATAAATTATTTTTAAAATATGTTTGCTTGCATTTAATGTTGTCCCTTAGTGTATTTGTGAAATGGGCGAGGATTCACAAAATCGCGTTTTAAAAACACCATGTATGTCAAGCACATCCCAATTCATAGAAAACTCAGTAAATTGCGGGAATTTTACAAAGAAATCAGATCATCTATCATCTTTGGAAAAAAACAGCGGCATTCAAATAAACGGACGGAGATGGCAGCTTCTCGGCTTATCTTGCAAAAAGGGAGAAGTTGTTACCCTGCAAAAGCCTGAACCGGCTATCTCCGCAAACATGCCGTCGCTAAATGAATCTAGAGCGCTTTGTGACTTTAAGTTTATCCACCTCATTCGCCTATAATGATCAGCATGACAATTCGTTTGAAGTTCGGTTCAAAAATGAAGATGAGACATCTGATATTTCGCTGAGTACCTATCCAAACAAACCTGACATTACCTCTCATGAAGCAACAAGCATGACAGTTCCTAAACGACAGTTCAGACGAAGAATGCAGAATTGAGGTCATCGTCTGTCCAGTGCTCGTGGCTGGCTGAATGCTTTGCCATCTCGAGCACTTTTCTTACTAATCGATGACGAAGAATCCAGAATTCTCGTGACAATACAGGTCTTGTGACAAAAAGAGAGTTCTTGTGGCAATACAGTTGATGCCCTCCAACCGTGACCGAAGTGGGATTCGAACGCATGACCCTGATGGCGTTCCTCTGGTCCCAAGGATCAACGGCATATTCTTGGCATGTGACTTCATGTGTGTCAACAGACTTGCAGGCTGAAACTGAAGGAATTTGCGAGAAATGAAGGACCGTCCGTAGCTGACTCTGCCGAGGACAGAAAGCGTACCAAATACGCAGCATTGGATGGGTCACATATTATCCAACTGTTGGAGTTGAAGCAAGTGGGGCATGGGCACAGGCACACTTCTTTGTACACGAATAACTCAGCATAACCGATGCGATTTCAAAGGAAAGGAAGTGAAACATATCTACGAAAAACTGGCCGTTAACTCTGAAGACCCGTTGCCGTTGAAAGTAATTTGAACGCTGAGCAAAGTATTTCACTCGTTTTCCATTAGAAAAACATTAGGCATTCCCTGATTCCATCAGATGCTTCTCAGACGGTTTTTACTTGTTTTTATTTCAGATACTTGTTTTTATCATTTTTGAAATAAATCCGTTCTCTGCATTTGATTTGAATTAGAAATGAAGCTTAATTGCCTCATCAAGAAAAACAGATTGAATCTATGCAATTATTAAGCATTTGACAGATGTGAATTATATTCCACCATCCTTGTAAATCCGCCGATGAAATAGTCAACTTTATTATCATATATTAGTGTGGGGCAAAAAAATTTGGCATTGCCTTGCACGAAAACTTCCTATCGGTTCATGTGCGAGAGAATAGTAGCGTTGCACGCACACACTTTTTGCATAAGACTAGATTTTCAATTTTATCTTTTACATTCGAAAGTTGACTCTAGAGGTCAGCATCGACAAACCAATCATTGCACCGTAGTCTAATCCCACACGAAATTTCCGTTTTGAGATCTGCCCTCAGTTAACAATAGCCCGGAAACCTATCAGCGCGTTGACAAGTGTAATGACTCACTGAGTCTGTTCGCTCGCTTGAACAACCTCAACTTGCACTTCGCCTGTTACGCAGTTGCACAACTCATCCCAAAATTAATTTCAGCGTACGTACTCTCGACTTCGCCTCTGTCGGCTTCCTCGTCATCTTTTAAGCAGCCAGAGCCCTGGCTCTAACTTTTGGGGTGCTGGCTCTGATTTTTTTGATCGTCGAAGCTTGCAAACTTCTATACCAGCTTCCAAAGGCGGCTTACGTCCTCATATCGCCTCCAAGAAAGCCGACCAGATAAGGACCGTCTTCGAGTGATTGACCCGACGCGCTGTATATACAGCCGCAAATGGCACTACCCTACCTACCCATACAGGGGTGCGCGAAAAACATCCTCTATCCTGGTTTTTAGTTTCGGATCTTTCTCAGTCGATCGGGTCGCTCCGTATATTAATTTTAATCCTTCTCCTCCGTACCCAAATTAACCCTAACCCTGGTGCCTGTACTTGCTCTCAATGCAAACAAAAAACTTTATTGGATCCACTAGAGCCACTTATTTTAATGGATCCACATTAGATAAAGCGGTCTTAAACAGCTCAATGAAGATTTTTACAGCCCCTCTTATACTGAATCTTATACACTGCCCCCTCCTGTGACAAACAATACTAACTTAACTGTCCAGCCCGAACAAAACCCCCTCCAACTAACTCCCATCTAATGATCACACCTCCCTTTGTAACCAATCAAATTCCAAATTTGCTTCAAGACTCAAACCTTCCTACTGCAACAAACCCCCCAATTAACCAAGCAAACCCCTTCTGTTCCAAGTTTCTGAACATTCTACAATTACATCCCAGGGAAAGCACCCAAAAT